GGCGGGAAGCGGCGGCGGGCGACGACGGCGTCGCGCCGCCGAACGGATGGTTCGAACGCGCGGCGGACTGGCTCGACGGACGCGCGCCGAAGGTTGGACGGAACAACAATCCAGACCACCTCGCGTCGTGGGAAGACGCCGCCGGCGACGCGGACGACGGCAGCGCGAGCTGGGAGTCGCTGACCGCGGTCGGCGCGGGGAGCGCGAGCACGCGCAGCGACGGCGGCGTCCGAGCGAGCGCGGGCGAGGAGGAGGAGGAGGATGAGGATGAGAAGGTGGGCGACGCGGAGGCGACGGACGACAGATCGTCGAACGAGGCGTCGCCGATCGAAGAGAATTCGCAATCGCCGCCGCCGCCGCGCGCGAAAGCGGCGCCGGCGAAGATGGAGCGGGCGCCTCTCAAAAGCGGCACGCCGCCGCCGAACCCGACGCCAAAACCGGGCGCGTCGCGGATACGACGCGGCCGCCCCGACCCGCTGGCGGACAAGAACAGAAAGCCGGACTTTGTCATCCGCATGGGCGGCGGCGGCGGCGGCGACGGCGACGACGACGACGCGGAAACCGCGCGACGCGTGGAACGATCCGGCGGCGGCGACCGCGGGCACACCGTCCCCGGGGACGACGACGGCGTCGGCGGCGACGGCGGACGCGCGTACCAACGCGAGAAGAAGCGCGGTCGAGGCGGGTTCGACGACCGAGTCGCGAAGATGACGCGCGATGACCCGCCGGCGCGCGCCAAGGCGAAGGCGGCGGCGGAGGACGCCAAGACGCGCGAGAGGACGCGCAGCGGTCGCGTCGCGGACGTGCACACGAACATCACGGTGTTGTACCCGGAGACGTTCGATGAGATGACCGCGCTCGCGCGACGGCCGAGCGACGGGATCGGGCTCAACCGCGACCACGCCGGGGTCGGGGGGCGACGCGCGAGCCTGGACGGCGAGGTCGGCGGCGCGGGCGCGAGAGAGAAGAAGAAACGCGGCGACGGCGTTTTCGGCGTTTTCGGAGGCGGCGGCGACGCGGACGACCCGCGCGAGAAACGCCGATGGCTCGTCGCGTTCTGTACACGCTGGGCGCCGCCGTGTAACCTTCTCGTCCGCGAGTTCGCGCTCCTGGGCTCGCACGAATCGCTGCGGAACGAGTCCTTCGCGTTGGGGTGGGTCGACTGCACCCCCGCCAAGACGACGACGTTTTGCGGCGGTCGCTTCGGCGCGACCGGGTACCCGCTCATCGCGCTCTTCGCCGGCGGCAGGATGGCGCGATACGTCGCCGTGGACCGCGAGCGCATCGCGGGCGCGATCGCGCCGTGGGCGCTGGACACCGCGCGCGAGATCGACGCGCACGTCCCGAACGTTGGCGGGCGCGCCGTGGGAGAGGAGGTTCCGTCGGACGCGCCGTCTCGACGCGCGCCGACGACGGGCGCGCGAGGCGCGCGCGCGTCGTGGGAATCGGAGCACGACGCGCTGACGCGCGAGCGCGATCGGTTGAAGAAGAAGCACGAGAAGGAGGAGGAGCGGCGCGTCGCCGCGGAGGAGCGGCGGAAACGAAGGGACGCCGCGGAGGCGAAGAAGGGCCGGGAGGGACCGGGACCCGGATCCGGACCCGGCGAGCGGCGCGGCGGGAGCGGCGCGCGAGAGAGGGCGCGCGGAGAGACGCTGACGACGGCGCCGACGATGAGCTCGCGGCGACGCGCGCGGATGATGGCGAACGGCGAGCTGTGATCGACGGACTGGCCGCGTAGGACTAGCTTTTGTTTACTATCGCGACGACGTAGCGAGCGGAGACGACCACGCGCGAGCGACAGCGTCAGTGGAGCAACAGGGGAACCCATTTTTTTTCCTCGTCGGTCTCGAGAGGGAGCCACCCGACGGCGCGCAAGAGCTCCTCCATGCGCGCGCGGTTCCTCGGGCCGTTGACGCACCCCGGCTTGAAACACCCCGGCGGCGACGCCTTGTTCTCCCTGCTCTGCGCGATGAACAGCACGCTCTTCGACCCCGGCTCGGTCGCGCGCGTGAACCAGAACGCGACGTCGTCTAGCCCGTCTTCGTACCGCAGCGTCGCGGCGACGAATCCGTCGTCGTACGCCGACGTCGTCACCGTCGTCCCCGGGCGCGCGTTTAGGACGCTCTCCAGCGCCGCGAACGCGTCCTCGTCGCTCTGGACGTACTCCCACGGCGGCAAGTAGTTCGCGGGGTTCCGGAACGACGCGGTGGAGACGCACGAGCTCCCCGCGATGCACGCGCGCGGGCGTCTCGGGATCGACGGCTGCGACGCGGGCGGCGGAGGAGGGATCAAAACGTCCGCGGGCTCCTCGTCCGCGCGCGCGGTTCGCGCCGCGAGCGACGTCGCGACGCCGCCGACCGCGAGCCGCAGCGCGTCGCGGCGACGCACGGGACGCGGCGGCGCCGAGGACGCGACCGGCAGCGCGACGCGCGTCGCCATGCTCGCGTGTGCGCGCGGAGGAGTGACGGCTTATCCGTGTGATGAGTGAGCGTCTCCGAAACCAAACTTTTAGCCTCGAGTGCCGACATCATTGCTGACGCGACACTGCGAGATGCGCGCGGCGGCGGTCCTCCGCGGCGGACCGCCGGTCGCCGCCGCGCCAACGCGGCGGCGGCGTCGCGGCCGTCGCCTCGCGCGGTGGACCGCGGTCGTGGACCCCGTCGCGGCGGCGGAGCCCGAGGAGACCTCGACCTCGACCTCGACCGCGTCGCCGTCGCCGTCGAAATCCGCCCCAATCCGCCTCGTCGAGTGGTTCTCCGGCACCGGGATGATGCGCGTCGCGCTCGACCGCGGCACGTCGCGCGGGGTCGAGCACGTCGCCGCGATCGACAACAGCGAGGTCGCGAACGCCGTGTACGCCGCGAACTTTCCGAACGACGCGACGCCGCCGTCGCGCGGCAACGTCGAGCACTGGACCGCGGCTCGGATCGACGCGGAAGGGCTGGGCGCCGCGGAGCTCTGGACGCTCTCGCCGCCGTGTCAGCCGTACACGCGCAAGGGGAAGCAACGGCACGGCGACGACCCGCGCGCGACGGCGTTCGCGCATCTCCTGGAGATCTTCCCGACGTTGCGCGCGCGCCCGGACCGCGTGCTCGTGGAAAACGTCGTCGGGTTCGAGACGTCCGAGACGCGAGACGCGCTGATTCGCGCGCTAGAGACGACGGGGTACGCTTGGCGAGAGTTCGTCGGCGCGTCGCCGGCGGACGTGGGCGTGCCGAACGCTCGGCCGCGGTACTACGCGCTCGCGAAGAAGCGCGAGGTGGGGGGGTTCGACGACGCGCGCGCGCCGTTCGTCGCCGCCGCGGGGAGCGACGGGTACGACGCGCGCGGCGCGGCGGCGGCGGCGGCGCGTCCGCCGCCGCGACCGCTCGCCGCGTACCTGGACGAGCGCGCGGCAAGCGACGACCTGACGGTGCCGTCGCGCGTGACGGAGAAGTACTGGAAGTGGCTCGACGTCGTCGCGCCGTCGTCCACGCGGTCGGAGTGCTTCACCGCGGGGTACGGAAAGACGGTGTACGGCGGATCGGTCCTCGCGTCGGATGCGTTTTTGTCGGCGCGCGAACGCGATTTTGTCGACGCGGGGGGGTCCGGGCGGGTCCGTCTCGCGTCGCCTCCGCCGCCGGGCGCGCTCAGGTACTTCAGCCCGAGGGAGATCGCGTCCCTGCACGGCCTCGGAGACGACTTCGCGCTGCCGAGCGAGGTGCTGACGCGCCGACAGCTGTACTTCGCGTTGGGGAACTCAATCTCCGTGGACGTCGTCTCCTCGCTGATGCGTCACCTATTCGACGACGCGTTTTTTTGAGTCGTTCGCGATCGTGTTCTTCTAAGGTACTTTCTACAACTAGTAGCTAGCTACACCCGCGTCGTCGTCGTCACGTCTCCGCGAACACCCCCACGGAGCCGTCGTCCCAGCCTAATACGAGCGCGCCGCCGTCCGACGCGACGGACGCGCACGACACCCCGGCGCCGCGCGGACCGTCGACGCCGGCGACGCGGAAACACCTCTCCGGGTGAAATCCGTCCGGGTCCCACGCGACGATCCCCTCGTGCTTCTTCCCTCCCGCGAGCACCCCGCGCGCGCCGTTCGAGAGGACGCACGACAGCGGCCCGATCCCGAGGTTCATCTCCGCGGAGCTCTCGCCGCACATGCGAAGTTCGAGCGTTCGAACGACGCCGTCTCCGCACGCGGCGGCGACGCGCGTGCGGCACGGCATCACGCTCAGCGCGTGCACGCCTCGTCCGGACGGGCACGCGTCCGCGCGCCACGCCGCGTGGCGGTACCTCGGGTCCCACGCGATCGCGGCGCCGTCCTCGCCGCCGGCGAAGACCGTGTCCCCGGTCGGGTCGCACGCCAGGCACCACGCTTCCGCGTTCAAGTCGGACGTGGACGCGACCCACGGCGCGGCGCCCGCGCGCCGCGCTCGACGCGCGGGGGTGCCGACCGCGCCGAGCGGGGGTGCCGAGCTCGAGCTCGATTGCAGCACCCTCGCGGCGAACGCGCCGCCGAGGACGCCGCCGGCGCCGACGTCCCACGCGCGCACGGCGCCGTCCCACGACGCCGTGAAGAGCTTCGATCGATCGAGCGCGGGTATCGCGACGGCGGCGACGGCGGCGTCGTGCGCGGGGAGTCTCCCGACGACGCCGTAGTCTTTTCCGTTGACGCTCAGCGCGTACGCGCGGACGGCGCCGTCGTACGAACCCGCGAAAACGGTCGCCGTCGCGCCGTTCGCGGACGACGACGGCGGCCAGAGCGCGAGCGAGGACAACGGCGCTTTCCCGACCGCGCCGGCTTCGCTGACGTGCTTCGAGGCGCCGTCCGTCGCGCACGACGCTTTCAACGCGGAGTCCCTGCCCACGGTGATGACCCTGCACTTCGACCGCGCGTCCCGCGAGGACATCTCCCCGGCGAACGCGACCGCGGCGACCTCGACGCGGTGCGCTCTCGACGTCCAAACCTTTTTCAGTCCGCGCGCGTCGACGTCCGGGTCCATCCCGACGCGCACGCCCGCTTCGACGAGCACCGCCTCCGCGGCAGCCTCGCGCGCGGCGAGCGCGGCCTCCTCCGCCGCGGCGGCCGCGGCGGCCGCGGCCGCTTCCTCCGGCGTCAGGAGCACCGGCGCGTCGTCGTTCTCGTCGTCGAAGTCGTCGAGGCCGTCGAGTTGAAGGCTCGACGCGTCGACGCCGTCGCCGTCGCCTTCGGCGACGCTCAGCCCCGCGAACGCGGCGGCCGCGGCGGCCGCGGCGACCGTCCCCGCCGGCGGCGGCCGCTCGACCGTGCGCAAGAGCGACTCGATGAGCGTCGTCGTGCGGTACGCGACGCCGCGCTCGGATAACTCCTCCGGTCGTTCCTCGTACACGCGATGCGCGCCCTCCTCCCTCCGCGGATGCGGCCGCGAGAACAAACGCCGCGGCGTCTGCCCGAACTCGTCGATCTGCGCCTCGAGCCCCCGTCGCGTCGCCGGGTCTTTCTCCTCCTCGATCTTCGCTAGCGCGTCGTCGTACGTCAGCGGGTGAAACACGTTGTCCGCGGCGGCGGCGGCGTCGCCGGTTTGTTTCCACCCGAAGATCAGGTCGATCCACGAGTGCAAGCTGTCGCTCACGTGCTCGCTCTCCAGCGCGTCTCGGTGTTTTCTCAGGAACTCGGCCGGGGAGTTGCCGCACCATCGCGGGAGTTGGACGTCCGCGAGCGCGACGCCGTCTTTCTGTCGCGTCCCCAGCGCGAGTCCGCGCGAGTTCAAAAAGAAATCTCCAGGACCGGCGAAAAACTCCGGCGAGAGCTCCTTCACGTCCGTCCCGCCCGTCATGACGCCGTCCCACGCGTCCGCCACGGAGTGAAACAGCCGGTCCGGCGCGTCGAACTTGCCGCACTGCAACCGCAGGTGATGCGCGGGCGCGGCGCGCACGAGCCAGTACAGAACGTACCCCGGGGCGCTGTAGTGACTTCCGTACATAAACGGCGACCCCATCCCGCCGCCGCCTTCCTTCATCGACGCGTACCGATCGCGCATGAGCTTCAACCGCTCGGGGTTTAGCGCCCCGATCGGGCGCGTTATATCTCTATACACGCTCGCGTCGCGCACGTCCAACGTAGGCGACGCGTAGTCTTTCAGGATCCACGGCATGACCGGCCACTGCGCGAGATCGTTGAACCCTCGGCCGGCGACGACGTTGAGGTAGAGCAAATAGTCCAAGTTCGAGACGCGGCCTTTCCTCCACGCCATCGCCACGGACTCGAGCCACCCGTCTCTCCCTTCCAAGAGCGCGGACGCCGAAGGCGTTCCCGATGGCGGCTCCGGTCGCCCCGACCCCAGCCTCGGCGGCGTGGGGATCGTATTCGCCGCGGTGGAGACGGACGCCAACGCGTCGTTCAAGGCGCGCACGCACGCCTCCCGCGACGCCTCCGTCCGCAGCGTGAACAGCACCGCGGGGCCGCCGAACGTCCCTCCCGTCGCGTCGCCGCCGCCGCCGCCACCGTCGTTGTCGCCGCCGCCGCCGCCGCGCTCGTCGCCGTCGAAACCGCCGTCGCGCGCGAAGAATATCTCCACGCCGAGCGGCCGGAGCGTCTTGCGGCGGCGGACCACGGCGCTCGTCGCCGCGATCGGATGCGACCGCACCGCGCCGCACCCCGTCACGTCGTGCAGCGGCTGAAAGTACACCCTCGCGGTCGTGACGACCAAGCGCCCGGGCTCGCGCACGAGCGGCGCGCTCTGCGCCGCGGGCGCGTCGAACAGCACGCGCTCGCTGAGGTCCCGCGTCCTCGTCTCGTCGAACCTCATCTCGTCTTCGCGTCGCTCTCGCATCTCTCGTAGGACGTCGTCCGCCTCCGACGGAGGCAGGCGGCTCACCGCGAGGAGCGTCAGCGCGGGCTCGAGCACGAGCGCGACGTCCGCGTACGCGAGGTCGAACGTCCACGCGTCGTCGCCGCGGTCTTTGTCGACGACGTACGGGACGTCTTCGCCGTTCGGGCGAAGGTGCACGACGCGCGCGCACGCGAGCTCGAACGCGGCGTGCGCGCCCCCCTTGGCGTCCATGCGGGAGACGTCGCGCAGCGGGAACTTCAGCATCGGTATCGAGCGCTCGTCCGGGTCGAACAGGAGCGACTTGGAGAGGAGGCGGACGATCCCTCGGAGCTTCCCGTGCGCGCGGTCGAGCGCGGGAGAGGACGGCAGCGCCCCGGGCGGGGGGCGGCACAGGCCGACGTGATCCGCGACGTAGTCCTCGCCCTCGTCCATGTGGAGCAGGCTGAACCGCGGCGCGGTCGAGCGGTCGCCGCCGCCGGACCACAGCATCTCGCGGTTCGCCATCTCCGCGGCCTCGCCGCCGGCCGCGGGGACGACGCGCGCGGCGAACGATGCGACGACGACGAGTGATGACATTCGTTACTGTTTAACAATCTGTTGAGCTAAAAGTCTAGAGTAATGACGCGAGTCAGTCGAGCTTGTAGATGGACATCCCGCGCGATTGCGCGATGTCGATCGGCGACTGGATCTTCTCCAGCGCCTCGAACGTCACCCTGACCGTGTTCATCGGGTGATGCGACCCTATCACCTTCGCGCTGAGATCCGTGATCCCCGCGCAGTCGCAGATCGCCTCCACGATCTGATTCACCCGCAACCCCTCGTACTTCTTCATCGGAAAGATCTTGATGTACGTCTTCTTATACTTCGCCCGCGCCGCGTGATACACGGTGTAATTCTCGAACCGCTCGATGTGCACCAGGCTCCGGCACGCCTTCTGGTACGCCTTCTCGACCGCCTGCTGCACGTCCTTCCCTTTCCCCGTGGCGTGCCCGCACACGCCCTCGCCGTTGCCGACGACGACGAGCGCGGTGAAGGACATGATGCCGCCCTGCTTCGTCACCTTACACGTTCGATTCACGTCGATCACCTTGCACATGAGCTGCTTCGGCTCCGCCGGGCGCTCGCGCTCGAGCTGCTTCTCCGCGAAGAATATCGGCTTCAACCGCGTCCCCTTCAGCGCCTCGCCCATCAGGAACCGTTGCTTCTTCTTCGGCGATCGCTTGATCTCCTCCGCGATCTCTTCGTACGCGCGATCCATCGCCGGGGTGTCGAGCACCGGGACGTACCGCGGGTCGTTGTTCGGCCACGGATCGTGGTCGCGGTCTCCCCTGCCCGCGCGCGCCGACGCCGACGACGCGAACCCGCGCGCCGCGAACGCCGAAGACGACGCCCACCGCGTCGTCGCGGTCGACGACGACGATGAGATGCCCCTCGACGTAGGGTTTGCGACCGAGGCCGCCGAGACCGCCGCGGACGCGACGCGCCACGGCGCGACGTGCGCGCACGACCCCGGGTTCGGTTTGGAGCTCGCGCGCGCGGAGGACGCGCACGCGCGGCGCAGCAGCGCGGCGAACGTTCGCTCCATCATCGCGCGAGCCGCGCGCGACGACGATATGAGGAGGAGGGGCGAAGAGAGCTCGCGGCCCAGTCCCGCCCGTCGAAGAACAGCAGAACGGAAAAAAAAATTTATCCGCGGCGCGGCGCGACGATTCGTGTTCATCATCGGTGACGCTTCAGGGCCTCCTCCTCCATTTGGAGCGTCGCGCCGCGCGTCCTCCGCCCGCCCACCCTCGCCGCGATGCCGCGACGCAACCGCTGCACGGGCGAGCTCGAGCACCCGAACGGGTGCACCGCGAGCGCGTACGTCGTCTCCTCCGTCCTCGCGCTCGTCCTCGTCCTCGGCGTTCCGCTCGCGCACGTGATGTTCTTCGTCGACGCCTCGCCCGGGCCGACCGATCGATGCGCGATCGCGTCCGGGGTCGACGTCGAGACGCACGCGGCGGCGATGGCGCTGTACTATCGCTACGAGATCGTGGACAACGTCGAGTGCACGTTCGAGACGGAGATCTTGCGCGGGTGCGTCGCGGACGACGCCGCCGTGCTGCGGTTTCCGAGGTACCCGCCCGGCGCGCTCCGCGCGAAAAACGTCCGCGACGTGCGCGACGAGGCGAAGCGATCGATCGACGCGTACGTCGACGCCGCGGACGCGGACGGCGTCGAGGGCGGCGACGACGTGAAGTGCGAGAAGCCCGCGGCGAGCTTGGCGCCGACGCTGACGCGCGTCGCGTCCGAGCCGTACCTCACGGCGCTGAGCGGCGTCGCGCCCGTCTTCGCCGCGTTCGCGGCGGCGGCGGCGGACGCGTCGTCGTCCGCGTCGGTGTCCTTCGTCGACTACGCGTGCGTCGCCGCGGTGGACCGCGCGATAACGCTCATCGACGAGGCGTTCGCGGCCAACGGCGCGAGCGCTCCGCCGGACCTCAGCGCGCGCGTCGTCGCGTTCTTCGCGGGATTGAGTGAAGAGGAACGCCCGCAGCTGTGCGCGATCGCGGTGACGGACGCGTCGCCGTGCGAAGAGAGGGACACGGACGTCGGGAGCCTGAAGGGGAGCGACCTCGGGTTCGGGCGGTGCGACTTCGTCGAGTTCGCGGACGTCGCGTGAGGTGGTCGCGACCTGCCCGCGCGATGTGACGTTTGTGCCTTCGAACGCGTTCGAAGGCTTTGCGTTAAAGCGCGGCGCCTTCCTTTCAACGTCACTACGATGATAACCTTACCTTACCTTACCTTTCCTCCTAGTTGATCACGAGCGCGAACTCCGCCAAGTCGCCGTCGTCGTCCTACTCGCGAGGGAAGCACCGACGAAGCTCGTCGATCAGCGCCTGCACGTCGTACTCCGCGCCTCGCTCGTTCTTCTTCACCGCGTCCACCTCCACGACCCGCTTCACCCCCATCGCGTACAGCTCGTCGACGTCCAACGGGATCCCGCCCCCCCTGGGCGCGATCACCACGTCCACGTACTCGCTCGTCGCGCCGGCGGGCGATCGCCGACGAGAGACGTCCGGGTCCTTGGCGCGGTTCAGCGCGTCCACGACGGCGGTGACGACGCCGCTCGCGGGCATGTTGCCGGTCTCCCTGTCCGGCCCGCCGTTCAAGATGAGCACCTTCGGGCCTTTCCTCGCGGCGACCGCCTCGCCGACGCCCTGAAGGATCAACGACGGGACGATGGACGTGTACAGCGACCCGAGGCCGTAGACGATGCCGTCGCAGCGTTCCAACTGTCGCACGATGGTCGGGTTCACGTTCGGGTACACCGCGGCCACGGACGTCGGATCTTCCGTGGAGAGGTAGAAGACGCGAGATATCGGCGAGTCCAGGTCGTCGTACTTTTCTTGCGCGATCGCCTTGTCCATGTCCCACACCGAGAGCGGACGGACGGTGAGGTCGTACAGCCGCGATTTCAACAGCTCCCCCGCGGACCAGTAGTTCCCGTCCGCGATCGCGTCCCGCACGCGCTCGTGTCCGTCCTTGCTGACCTGCAGCCCGCCCCAGAACTCGCTCGCGGTGAAATCCGGCAGCGCGCCGGACTTTATCACGCCCTTCCAGAACTCGGACGACGTCGCGAGCGCTCTCGCGGCGCTGGACGGCGCGTCCTTCTTGAAAAATTTCGCATCCGGCGCCGGATGCGAGATCTCGTTCTGTCCTCGTATCGTCGACCCGTCCACGAGCTCCGCGCCCAGGGCGACGCGGACGTTATCCGGGAGCAGGATGTTCGGAACGACCAGCGATTCGTCCGGGATGCGACTCACGCGCGAGTACAACAAGATCGCCGCCTCCATGGATCGGAAAAACATTCGCGCGCCGGCGAAGAAAAAGTTGCCGACGCTTCCGTTGACGAAGTCAAACGCGCCGTCGCTCCCAACCTTGGCCGCGGTGACTTGGCTGTGAAAGTACAGAAGGAAACTGCGTATGATGTCCGCGTACGGCTCGGATATCTCCCCCCACAGCGGGTGGTCGCCCTCCTGTATCCTGTACCACTCCGCTTTCGCCGCCGCGCTGTCCGTCGCGTGGAGCCTGTGCGCGAGCAGCTCCTTCACCGCGCGCGCCTCGCCGGTGGACTCGTCCGAGAGGCGCAGGCATCGCGAGCGGAGGTCGCCGACCGCGGGCCCGCCCAAGACGCGGACGATCTCCGCGGTGCTGCCGCCGTCGTCGCTGACCGGGAGGACGTGCGTGACCCTGGACGTGAGGTCGAGGAGCTCGTCGACGATCCCGTTGAACGCCGTCCCGCCCGTGAAGCACACGAGCGCGGGCTCGTGGTGTCGGATGCCGTCGTCTTCGCGATCTCGCGCGCGCTCGTCGCGGCCGCGGCGCGACGCGCCGGGTTCGTGCGCGTCGCCGCGTTTCAGCGCGGACGTCGCGAGGTCGACGGACGCGGTGGACGCGCTCGTCGTCTCGACCGCGCGCGCGCGCGAGGACGCGCCGCGGTCGTCGACCGCGCGCGCGCGCGAGGACGCGCGGGAATCGCTGATGCCACGCTGGCGACGGGCTCGGGAAATAGTAGTGTTCCGAGCGTCGTCGCGTCGCGGCGTCGGCGACGCCGCGACGCTCGAGGCGCGCGTCGAGCTCGACGTCGACGCGACGCCGCATCGTAACATCGGGGCGACGCGCATCGTGCGCGCGCGCGTGCGGCGCGACGACGAGGAGTGCGCGCTCGAGCTGAGGCGATAGGAATAAAACACTGATGACGATTTTTCGTTGGACGAACAGAGACCACAGGACGCGATCATCGCTCGGTCGCCTCACTCTCGTCCGCGTCTCACTCGGGTGAGACGCGCCGCGCGCGATGCCGCCGAAGACGAACCGCGGCGCCGCGCCGCGGGACGATCCGCGCGTCGCGACCGGGAGCTCCGCGTCCGGGACGGAGACGATGGACGACAGAGCGCGCGAGGCTGTCATGGCGCTGCGGTCGGATTGGAGATTCTTCGCCGTGCACGCCTTCTGCCACGCGTTCGCGGCGGTCCTCCGCCTCCCCGCGTTCACGTGCGAAGACCTCGAGCGCTCGCTCCTCGATCCCACCGAGGGCGAGCTGTTGTGCGTCGAGGTGTGCCTCCGCCTGATCGAAGACCCGCCGCGGTACGGCCACGCGAGCGGCCGCGAGCGGCGACTGGCGGTGAACGACTGGGAGAGCCGACTCCTCGAGCACGCGCGCGTCGTCGCGGACGACAGCGACGTGTTCGACGAGGACTACCCCGCGCTCGGAGACGGCGCGAACGCGCACCCGCTCGCGACCGGGGACACGTTCTTCGACCTCTCGCCGACCGCGAGGCTGGCGCTGCTGCACGCGTTCTGCGAGCATCGCTTGGAGTCCGAGGACGACCCCGCGTGCAACGAGGAGGCCAAGGCGCAAGCGGACGCGCACGCGGACCGCGCCAACGAGGAGACGCATCCGGGGTGCCACGGCGAGCAGATCGGCGCGGACGGCGACGGGCGGACGTACCACGTCACCGGGGACGATTTGCGGGTGTATCGATGGGAGAAGTCGAAGGGGCGCGCGCACCCGGCGTGGTCCACGGCGTGCACGACGACGAGCGAAGCGCTGGCGTTGGCGAACGCGTTCGCGGAGAGCAAATCTCCGAAAGAGAGAGCGCTGGGGACGTACCTGCTCGAGACGCACCTGCCGGCGCATCTCGCGGAGGAGGAGAAGCGCGCGAGCCGCGAAAAGTCGAGAGAGGCGAAGGAGGCGGCTGCGCGCGCGCGAGAGAGAGAACGCGCGGAGTACGACGAGCGCGCGAAGAAACGCAGCGGGCGGATCGCGGTGAAGCAAGCCGAGGAGGAAGAGAGACGGCGACGCAGAGAGGCGGAGCTCGAGGCCGCGGCCGCGATCGCGGCCGCGGCTCGCGAGAAGAGGGAGGCGACGCAGCTCGAGCGCTGGCGGTGGATGCTTCTCCCGCCTCGTCTGCGATCGAAAGACGTCCCGCAGGGCATGGACCCTCGCGGCTCCGACGCGCGCGTGCGTCTTCTCGCGCGAGAGAGCGCGGATGAGAGGGCGGCGCGAGAGAAGATCGAGACCCCGCGAGGGGAAGACGCGATCGGGAGGTACGTCCTGACGTACTGGGACGACGACGAGACGTGGTACGTCGCGCGCGTGGAGTCCTACGACGCCGCCGCGGACGCGCACGCGTTGCGGTACGTCTTGGACGACGAACTCGAGGCGGGCGCGTCGTTGTACGAAAACGCGCGCGCGCCGGGGGACGGAGACGACGGGACGCGGGCGTTACGTCGCGGGATGGTGTTCACGCCCGTCGACTGGGACCCGAGCTCCGCGATTGACTGGAACCCGAGCCCGGAGCTCCCCGGGTTGGAGCGCCGGGGCGTGAGGTTGGAGTCGCGGAAGCACCCGACGCACGCGTACGAGTGGTCGTCCCCGGAGGCGTCGCGGCGGGCCGACGGCGCGGGGCGAGAGGAGGGAGGCGCGCGCGCGGGCGACGAGACGGGGACGCGAACCGACGCGGTGGCGACGGACGCGACGGAGGACGCGATGGACGCGATGGACGTGGTGCCGCCGCCGGCGGCGACGCGCGCCGAGGGCGAGGGCGAGGGCGAGGGCGAGGGCGAGGGCGAGGACGAGGACGAGGACACGGCGGTCGCCGCCGCGGAGGCGCCGGCGGTCGCCGCGCCCAAGCCTGTCGAGGCGGTGTGGGAATTCATAGCGGGGAACGCGAACGAACGCGTACAGTGATACTAACATGTGATCACGTGAACTCAGCATGACGCGTCGCGGTCAGCGCGTCGTCCCGTCGGGTCGCCGTCGACGTCACTCCGGCGACGCCGGAGCGCCGCCCTCCGCGTCCTTCTTCCCCCGAGCCTTGAACTCCGCGATGCGTTTCTTAACGTAGTGCACCGGGTCGATGTCCATGGGCGTGTCTTCGAGGTACCCGCCCATCTTCAGCAGGACGAAGATGCCGATCATGAACGTCGGTATGAGCGCTAAGAACAGCCAGTACCCCCACGACAAGCCGAGCTCGGGCATGTTCACGAAGTTCATCCCCCACATCCCCGTCAAAAACTGCGACGGGACCATCATCACGGTGATGATGGTCAAGATGAACAGCGTGTCGTTCGTCTTTTGGTTCTGGTACACCTCCACGCGCTCGAGGATGGCCAGACACCGCGTAATGTACATGTCGCACACGTGCTCGAGATTCTCGCTCTGCTTCTCCACAGCCTCGATGTACGTCTGAAACGCGTCGTCCCCGAACAAGTTGAGCGCGTCCTCCTCGTACGTCTCGCACAGACGCTTCACGCGGATGGAGAACCGACGCATCCGCCACAGCTGCATTCGCGTCTTGTCCACCGGCTGGTTGTACGCGATCCCCTCTCTCGACACCATCGCGTGCGACAGGACTTCGAGGAAATCCCCGAGCTCCTCCGCGAGCGGGAACGCGTCGTCGACGAACTTGTCCGCGAGCAACGCGAGGAGCATCGCCGGGTGCGCGCCGTTTTTGTTGCACACGCTCGAGCCGTTCACGAGAAGCGACTGCAAGTTCGTGAAGTCGGACTCGATGTCCCTGTCCTCGGTGACGGACACGATCAAGCGCATCTCCGGCACGTAAATGAACGACACCTGGTCGTCCGTCACGAGCGGGATGTCGCCCTCGCAGTCCTCTCGGTCCAGGAGCTGCATCGTGAGAAACGCGTGCGTGCCGAAAAAACGCAACGCCGGGTCTCGGTGACGCATCATCACCAAACGCTGCGTCGTCTCGCTGCCCTCGATCTTCGGCGGCGCGAGCTTGAACTCCTCGCACAGCATGTCGAGCGTCGGGGTGTTTATTCCTTCGAAATGCAGCCATCGGACTTTGGTTTCGCTCGCTTTCGCGGCGGCCACCTCGCGAATTATCGACCTCGTCTGCGATTCGCTCGACGACTTGGACATCGCCCCGGGCGCGCCGTTCGTGTCGTACTCGACGTACGAACAGTACGGCACCGCGGACTCCGGGACGTCGCCGTGCCGCGTCGCGAAGTACGTCGCGGTCATCTCCGCGAACGTCTTCAGCTTCTTCGTCTCGCGCTTCGTCGTTCGCTTGACGTCGTTCAAGAAGAGCGATTTTCGCACGGACGCTTGCACGCGCGCGCTCGCCCTGTCTCGCATGGAGGGTTGGCGGCGAGGCTTGCCCGATCGCGACGGGCTCTTCATCGGGGGGGACGTCGGCGGGGACCCCGGGACGTCTGCGCGTGGATTGGACGGAGAGGGGGGGGGGATCGTCAGGAGGAGGTCACACGAAATTCTTACTTTATGCGAACGCGTGCGATCGCGACGCGATTTTCTCTCTGACGACCGGGGATCGATCGTTCGGGCGCGCGCGCGCACCGGCGTTGACGTCTTCCACGGCGAGCGCCCCGTCATCTGGAGTCGTCGCGGACATCGCGGGCGACGACAGATTCCGTGACGCCGCCAGGTGAAGTGTCCCCGCGACGTCGGGGAATTGTCAGACCAAATTACCGAACGCGCTTTCGACGAAGCACTCGCGCTCGCGCTACGATTGCGATTCGACCTGACGACCGACCATCGCGTTATATTATTCAAAGATGTTCACCCACCCCGTAGTTTCAACATTTGATCGCGTCCCCTTTGAACTGACCGATGAACTTTTTTCGCCAAAGCGGCTGCGCGCGCGCGATGCGCCTTCGCCGCGCGCGGCTGTGGGGCTCGCTCGCGGCGCTCGCACTCGTGTCCGGATACTACCACGCGCTTTCGACGCTCCACGACGTCGAGGTCGGGACGGTCGGCGGCGGCGTCGACGGCGACGCGCGAGATCGCCAGCTCGACGAGCTCGAGGTGCCCAGAACGACGAGTAGCGCTAGTGTGCCCACCTCGTCCTCGTCGTCCGCGGCCGCGTCCGCGGTGATCCTCAACACCGGCGCCGCGATGCCGACGCTCGGGTTCGGCACCGCGGGCTTGGGCGACGCGACGCGCGACGCCGTCCGCGCGGCGCTGCGCGTCGGATACCGGCTCCTCGACACGTCCGGGGCGACGGAGTGGTACAGAGAAGATCTCGTCGGCGACGCGCTCGCGGCGGAGATCGCCGCGAGCGAAGGAGGACTCGAGCGCGAGGACGTGTTCGTGACGTCGAAGCTGCACCCGCGGCACTTCGCGATGGAGGACGCGCGCGTTCAGGTGGAGAAGACGCTGCGAAGCTTGCGCGTGGAGTACGTTGACCTGTTCTTACTCCACTACCCGCGCTGCTGGGGCGACCTGTGCGGCGACCTGGGCGCGGGGGGCGAGCCGAGAGGGACGTGGCGCGACGCGTGGCGCGTCCTCGAGACCATGCGCGCGGAGGGGAAGATACGCGCGCTCGGCGTGAGCAACTTCGACGCGCGCGAGCTCTCGGAGCTGCGCGACCACGCGGTCGACGCGCCGTCGGTGGTGCAGCGGCGGTGCGACGTCTTCGTCGCCGATCGCGACGTCCGCGAGGTCGTTCGACGGTTCGGGTGGACGTACCAAGCGTACTCGTCTCTGGGGACGCAGCATCGTCTCGGTCTCGACGGCGCGAGTCGGATGAACCCGGTGTTAAGCGCGAAGCCGGTCGTGGACGCCGCGGAGGCGCACGGGGTGTCCCCCGCGGACGTCGCGTTGCGGTGGGCGTTGCAGTCGACGCCGCCGCAGGCGGTGATTCCGCGGTCGTCGAACGAGGGGAGGATCAGATCGAACTTCGAGAACGTCGCGAGGTTCGAGCTGAGCGCGAGCGAGATGGCCACGATCGACGCGCTGGACGGAACGGCGACGACCTAGAAGCGCTCGCTGTGCTATAGAAGAGATAGTCTAGACTACGTAGCTTGAGAGGTGGCGCCGCGCGAACCGACTACGAGCCAGTCGCGGCGTCCGCCGTCGCGACCGCCGCCGCCGCCGCTCTGTCCTCGCAGAACCCGTTGACCTCCACCCACCGCGCGGCGTCTCGCCTCCCCATCTCCACGAGCTCGTCCAAGATGTCGTCGCTCGCCGGGAGCAGCGCCCACTTCCCTAAGGTGACGTAATCCACGTCGGAGACCCCCCCCGCGGCGTCCGGCGCGATGAGCGACCCTCTCGACTCGTCGTCGCCCCACCCCGCCCAGAACGACGCCTCCTTCGCGAAGAAGTTCCCCGTCGCCGCGCCGTCGCCCTCCACGGTCGCGTTCCACGCGTCCAACAGCGGGAACGACGCGACTCTCGTCGCGTTGAGACTCCCCGGCGGCGTCGGCGCGAGATTCGTCCAGCCGCCGTCCACGCGACGCTTCCCTCTGTACGCGCGCGTCGGCCACCCGCAGTACAACGGAATGTGGCACGACGACAGCAGCGCGCCGACGAGGTCGTCGAAGGTGTCGAACGCGCTCACGAGCTCGCCGTCGAGCGCGACCGGCCCGCCGTTGAACCCGACGCGATTCTCATCCGGCGTGCCCGCGTTCCACGGTCCGAGAAGTTTCGGCGTCGTGATGGACACGTGCAGGTTCCCTCTCGAGCACCGCTCGTGCGCGTCCCGCGGGAGCTCCTCTCGCAGCGTCGCCTCGAGGACGGCGCCGACGCGGCCGAGCACGCCGTTCGCGCGGCAGTCGCGCAGGACGCGCATGAGCGCGCGCTCGCCGTCGTCCGGGGTCATCCCGCACGCGATGAACGCGGCGACGAGCGCTCCCGCGGACGCGCCCGCGACGGGAGTGGTCGGGCCGATGAGGTTCGTCTCGCTGAGGACCCTCCACGCGCCGACGTGATACGGGAAGATCATCCCCGCGGCGGAGAACCCGTAGCCGTCGGGCGGGGACGGAGACGCGCCGCGACCGGACGGGGCCGGGGACGCGGCGACAGCGATGACGTCGGCGCCAATTTCCGTGGCTGAGGACGCGCGAGGGCGACGGCGGCGATGCGCGCGCGCGCGCGTCGCTCGCGCGTCGCCGGCGCGGCGACCGCGATCGAAGGCGACATCGCGCGTCGGAGACGGCGCGAGAGAGCGCGAGGTGGACGCCATCGCGCGAGGCGGTGTGACGCGCGCGCTCGCGGAAACGTTCCTCCTCGATCGTCCCGTCCAGTCCGTCGTCGTCGTCGAAACCAACAGAAATAAACTACAGACTCATCACAGTCGAGGCGGCCCCTGATACCGGAACTCGTCGTCTCTCCGATCCCCGCTCTCCTCGAACACCCCCCGCAGCCACCACCTCGCCCGCCACACGTCGTCCACGCTCAGCTCGTGCCCCATGTCCTCGCTCACCAGCACCTGCACGTCGTCCTCGGACGCGCCCGCGCCCCCGCCCGCGTGCCGCCGCCGCTGCGCGCGCAGATGCTCCGCCGCCGCGAATCCCCACTCCCTCGGCGCGACGACGTCCCGCCCGCCCTGGCATATCAACACCTGCGGCGGCGACGCGGGCGCGGACGACGAGAGCGATAAGTCCGACTCGTTCTTCGTGATCGGGAGGTACCCGCGGAGGCACGCGACGCCGCCGAGCGCGGGGGACCACGCCGTCTCGCTCGCCGCCGCCGCCATCGCGAGCCCGGCGCCCTGGCTGAATCCCATCAACACGACGCTGCCGCGCGCCGCGCCTCTCTTCTCCTGCTCCGCGATGAGGCTCTTCGTCCACGCGATCGCGGGATCGATGCCGCCGCAGCGCCACGGCGTGTTGGAGGGCCCGGGCCCTTCGAACTCTTCCGCGACGCGCGTGTTGTTCATCCGCGGTTCGAACCACGCCGCGACGTCTCTGTGCGCGTCGCCGATTTGAAACAGCCGCGACGGCGCCGACGGGAGGAGCACCTCGACGCCGCCGGGGACGCCGCGGACGAGCATCTCCGTCATCTCGCGCCAGTTCTCCGCGGTGTCGCAGAAGCCGTGAAGGAATATGAGCGTGTATTTCCCGCGTCGATTCCCGTCGCGAAGCCCCGCGTCGTCCTCGTTCGAAGCGCGATCGCGATCCCATCGTTCGCTGAACTTCGCGATCCGCGCGTCGACCGTCCCGTGGAAGCTCGTCGTCCTCGTCCACGAGACGCAGTTCTCGTCCCACCTCCACTCCTCCTCAAGACATCGCGAGCGCTTCGGGAGCGTCATGACGTGCGACTGAATGCGTCGGTTCACGCGTCGCACCGCGCGTTCGACGTCCATCGCGGACGGCGAGCCGTTCCACCCGGGCGACGCGACGTCGCCGTATCTCGCGCGCGACGCGTCGGGGGACGCCGCGCGCGTCGCCGCGTGGTTCTCTCGCGTCCGCGCGGAGGAGGCGGCGGAGCACGACGCGGCGGCGTCGCAGAGGATGCCGCGGAACCGCGCGGCGCGGCGCGCGACGGCGTCCATCGCGTCGTCCGTCCCCGCGTGCCTCGGACTGTTCGAACGTCCCCGATCGCGCTCGTCGCGCGCCCCGACAAAACAGAACTCGCGACGAGCGCGCTTGCAGCCGTTTGCGTTCGTAGCTCGCGTCTCGCCTCGATGGTGACGCCACAAACGGCCCGCGCGCTGACCCGACGCGCGCGAACGCACGATGGCGCCGGCGGAAGTCATGCCGCCGCCTCCCGCGGAAGAACCCAGAGGGATGACCGCGGCGAAGGCGAGAAAGGTGCGATCGACGCCCGTCCCTCGGTCGCGTCCGCCGCGCGCATCGCGCCGTCCGAGCGAAGAAGTCTTTCCCCCGAGTCCGAGTCGCCATCCGCGGCACGACGACCGCGACGTCGCGGGACGCGACCCCGCGCGTCGCCGAGCGCCCTCGCCGGCGACGCGCCGCGACTCGGATCGCATCGCGCGCGTCGTCTCCGTCGCGCATCGCGTCCGTCGCGCGTCGCGACGCCGCCGCGACGTCCCGTCGCGTCGCGCGGCGCGTCCTCGCGCGTCCCTCGGGGGGACGAACGCGACTCGTCGCGCGTGCCGTCTGCCCGTCCGATCTCACCGTCCCCACCACCCTCCCCTTCGCTCCGCAGGCCTCCAGCGCGGCCGCGGACTGGGCGCAGAAGCGCAAGCAAGCGCTCGAGCGCGCGACGGAGCTCAGGGCGCAGAGGAAGGCTGCGGAGCGCGCGAACGCGCCCCCGCCCGCGCCGGTTCGAGGATTAGAGTCCGATCCGCTCCCCCCGCCGCCGAGGTCGCGCGAAGATAATCCCGCGTGGTGGGAAGTCAACGAAGGCCCCGCGCCGGCGCCGGCGCCCACCGAAACCACCGCGGCAGAGCCGGAGAAGCGACGGCGGCGGCAGTGGGGCGACGCGGAGCCGGATTCGGGCGCGCGACCGACGGCGGCGGACGCGTCGACGACGGAGACGACGACGAGAGACGCCGAAAATGAAAAGCCGTCGACGCCGTCGCCGGAGTCCGAGCGCGCGTCCCCGGCGTCCCGAGCCGGGCGGCTTTTACCGTGGGAAGAGGAGATCCTCGTGAAGCGAGCGACAGAGGAGGCGGAGAGGAAAGGCCAGCCGCCGCCGTCGCCGGAGGAGGTCATCGCGAAGGCGACCGGGGACGACTCGCCGGAGAAAGCCGCGGACCCGTCGGTGTGGGGACCGCCGTTGCCCAAGCCGAGCGCCAAGCCGCGAGCGAGCGCGAAGGCGGCGGCGAGGCCGCTGGTCGGCGCGCCAGCGGCGGCGGCGAAGCGCAAGAACCCGAACCCGGCGGTCGTCGCGAAGACCGCCGCGGCGGGCGCGAGGGAGAACGTCGCGGCGAGCGGAAACGCGAAGCGCGACAAGCCGGCGGTCGGCGGGATGGGCCGAGGCGTCGCCGGCGGCGGCTTGAAATCCCGCCTCGCGCAGCAGTCCGCGTCCGCGGCGGCGAAAGAGAAGAAGAAGTCGCCGTACGCCCCGAGCGCGGTGCCCGGGTACAACAAGAACGCGCCCCCGGGGGGCGCGGGGACGAAAGCCAAAACCAAAACCGCCGCCGCGAAGCCGCGCGCGCCGACGAAGCGCGAGCAGACGACGCTCTCTTCTCGGCTCACGCTGCCGCGCCAACCGACCTCGTCGTCCCCACACGCGTTCCCGGACGACGAGGTCATCGAGGACGACGTCGTCATCGAAGCGGACGAGCTCGAGGAGGAGGAGGAGGAGGAGGAGGAGGAGGACGACTTCCCCGTGCACGTCGTGTCCACCGCGTCCGCGACGCCCGGGAAGCCGCCGGTTTCGGCGGCGGCGCCGGAACCGTACGACCCGAACCGTTACGTCGCCGCTGGCGATGTAACACCCCACGAGGAGCGACCGGCGTCCGCGGCGGAGCGACGGACGGACCCGGAGGACGCGCTGGAGGTGGCGCAGATGCTCGCGGGGTTCGCAGCGCGCGCGGAGGAAGTGAGGAAGTCGAGAGAGGACGTCGCGTTCATCGCGGGGAAGGATGCCGGCGCGGGCGGGAGCGGGAGCGGGAAGAAGAAGAAGAAGGAGAGCCCGAAGCCGGCGCCCGCGGAGAGAGACGGCGGCGAGGCGGAGAGCAAGAAGCAAAAGGCGTCGCCGCCGGAGCCCGCGCCCGCGCCGCCGCCGGCGGCGGCGGCGAGCGTCGCGGAAGCCTCAGCCTCGAGCGCGGAGCCGATGCGCGCGGGCGATGAGAACGCAAAGTCGCAGAAGAAGGTGAAGAGGAACGATCCGATGACGGCGTCGTGGGAGAAGCCCTCGAGCGCCGACCCGGACGAGCCGTCGATCGGGTACGAAGCGTTTTTGAAACTGCAGGAGCGCGTCGTGAAGGATCCCGCGCCGAAGCCGATGAAAACGTCCGTGACGAAGCCGTTATCCGACGAAAAAGTCGTCGCGGAAAAGATCGCCGCGAAGAAAGTCGTCGCGATCAAGGCGCCGAAGAAGCCCGTCGCGGTCGCGCCGCCGCCGACGGCGCCCCCCGCGGAACCCTCCGCCGCGGTCGCGCCGCCGCAGAAGTCGTCGAACAACCCGTGGAACGACGCGGTCATCAAACCGAGAGTCCCGAAGAGCTCTTCCAGCGGGAACAACGGCGAGGAGAAGGCGTTCCGTCAGATGTTCGACAAGAGAGAATCGCGGCGGATGAACGCGAAACCGTTCGCCGCCGCGGTGCAACGGTGGCGCCTGCGTCGCGCGTCCAGAGGCGGCAAAGCGTCCAAGCCGAGGGAAGAAAAAGCCGGCGGCGTCAAGGTGTACGTGCGCAAGCGCCCGCTGTTCGCGCACGAGCAAGAACGCGGCGAGTTCGACGTCGTCACCGTCCCGGACCCGCCCGCGCCGAAGACGACCGTGGACGCGACGGAGATTGTCGTGCACAACTGCCAGATGCACGCGGACTTGAAGCGGATGTTTGTGAAACACGCGTCGTTTGACGTGTCTCGAGCGTTTGGCGAAGCCGCGAGCTCCGAGGAGGTGTACGCCGTCGCCGCGGAGCCGATGGTTCGCGGCGCGCTCGCCGGCGGGGTCGGCGCTTTGTTCATGTACGGGCAGACAGGGAGCGGGAAGACGCACACGATGGAGGCGATCGAAACCGCCGTCGTGAGTGCGTTATTCAACTCGGGCGCGGTGAAGAACGTCACCGTCGCGTACTTTGAAATCGCGGGGAAAAAAGTCACCGACTTGCTCTCCCCCGCCCGCGCGGAGATTTCCATCAAAGAAGTCGGCGGCGGCCTCGTCGGCGCCGGCGCCGGACGCGCGCTCGAGCCCGAAGAGTACCGTCAGCTCGACGTCCTGCTCCTCGGCGCGGTCGAACCCAAGGCGAGCACCGCGAGCGAACTCGCGGCCATCGTCGCCGCCGGAAAGTCGCGCCGCGCGACGTCCGCGACGCATTGCAACGCCGCGTCATCTCGCTCGCACGCGGTGCTGCGGCTCACGTGCGCGCTGCGCGACGGCAGCGCGCACACCGGGAGGCTCACGCTCGTCGATTGCGCGGGGTCCGAGCGCAAGGAGGACAACATGCATCACAGCGCGGATCAGAGGAAGGAGACGGCGGAGATCAACGCGTCGTTGTACGCGTTGAAGGAGTGCGTGCGGATGCGTCGGCTGCAGCATCAGCGATTCGGGTTCAACGGCGCGGGCGGAGCGAAGAACGCCGCGGACGCCGGGCACGTGCACGTGCCGTACCGAAGCTCGCACCTCACGAGAGTGCTCATGGAGTGCTTCGTCCGCCCGGACGCGCAGCTCGGGGTCATCGGCACGGTGTCCCCCGCGTCGGTGGACACGGAGCACTCGGTGTCGACGCTCAAGACGGTCGGGATGATCGGCGGGATGGAGGAGGGCGATTCGTGGCACGACGAGATGAAGGAGGACGTACCGAGGAACTTGACGATGCGCGACGACGGCAGCGTCGTGGAGACGAGGGTCGAGCGCGTCGTCGCGCCCGTGCGGTGGAACAACGCGCACATCCGCGCGTGGATCGCGAGGCCAGGGAACGAGAAGCTCGCCGCCAAGGTGATCGTGCCCAAGAGCCTCGCGGGGCGGGACATCGTTCGAATGAACCCCGCGGCGCTGCTGAAGCTGTGCGGGGGGGATCATAAGCTGTCGCAGGTGATGCACAACAAGCTCCGCGAGGAGATCGCGCGGTGCAGCAGCAAGAACCTGTCGTGACGCGACGACGAACGACGGACGATCTGATCTGACGCGCGTAAAGTCGGACGGAGGGCGGACGCTCCGAGTGCGAATAACCTTAGTAGCCGCGCGCTCGCGCTGGGAATCAAAATATATTCTCGGCGTGCGCACGTGATATTTCGCCGCGTCGTCGTCGTCTCAATCGCTCGCCGCTCGCGTCGTGTCGTGCCCGCGCGCGATGGGGGCAGACGACGTCGACTCGAAAAGCCAGAGTCCGAAGTCAACAACGACGACGAAAATCAAAACGCTCGCGAAACGTCGGAAATCACGAAACCAAAACGAGGGGAACGACCTGGGGACGACGCGTCGCATCTGGACACAACGCGCCGGCACGCGCGCGACTCCGCACGTGCCTCGCGCGCCTTCTCGGTCATCCTCCGCGCGTGAAAGAACGAACGCGCGCGCGCGTCATGACGACGCCGATATCCAAGCGTCGCGCGATGGACGCCCTTCCGTCGCTCGCGGTGAAAAAGATGCCGCTGAAGCACGCGGGCGCCCATCAGCGCGTGCACGACAGCGCGCGATCCTCCGGCGCGCGCCTGCCGCTGTCGCCGCTGTCCGTGAACACGAAGACCGCGTTCAACGACCGCGGCGGCGCACGAAAGGGCGACCAGAAGTCTCGGTTCTCGCAGCTCGCCGCGGCGGTGAACAAGAAGCCGTCGACGTCCGCCGCGGTCGTCTCGAAGCCGGTCGTCGCGTCGACCGCGCGGCCGATCGCGCCGCCGCCCGCGAGGGCTACTAGGACGGCGCCCGCGCCCGCGCCCGCCGCGGACGCGCCCATCGCGCCCGCGTCGTCGCTCGACCTCACCCCCGTCGCGGCCTCCTCCCCGGCGCCGATGGAGATGGACGACGACGACGTCGCGTTCGGCGCGCAGGAGTCGTTCGCCGAGTGGCTCGCGCGCGTCCGCCTGCGCGGTCCCCGCGATCCCCCGGGGGGCGCCGACGCGACGCGAATCTCGGAGACGCAACGCGCGACGCTCGAGTCCACGTGGGCGAACGCCGCGGAGGCGGACGCGCTGCGACGGCTCGTGGAGAACCTGAAGGACAGCGAGCTCGAGATGGCGAGGAAAGAGACGCTCGCCGCGAGCGGCTGGGCCGCCGACTTTGAGGCGGCGACGGCGGCGGCGTGGAGCGAAAAAGTGGACGCCGCCGCGCGCGCCGCGAGCGACGCGCGAAAGGCGCTCGGCGAGAAGGAACGCGAGACCGCCGACGCGGAGGCGGCGGCGTCGAGCGAGCGCTGCGCGGCGCTCGCGGCGAGCGTTGAGACGGGCGCGCTGCGAGGGAAGCTTCAAGAGGCGATGCTGCTCGCGGAGAGCGGCGCGTCGAGGGCGGCGACGCTCGAGGCGAAGCTCGCGGAGATTTCGGCGGACGCGGAGGACGCGCGGGAGGCGCTCGAGAGAAAGCGCTCTGAGGCGCAGCGCGCGAACGCGGCGGAATACGAGGCGCTCGCGAAACTCGCCGCGGTCGAGACGGCGCGCGCGAGGGACCGCGTCGCGCACGAGAAGGCGCTGGCCGCGGCGAGGGAGGGCGAGGCGAAGGCGCGAATTCGCGCCGACGCCGACGCCGACGCGTTTTCAGCGGACGCCGCCGACGGCGCGCGCGCGCTGAAAGCCGCGCTCGCGCTTCGCGAGCGAGAGGTCGCGGACGCTCGCGCGAGCGCGGCGGAGGCGCAGTGCGCGGCGCGCGCGCTGGAGGAGAAGGTCGCGGCGCTCGAGAGGACGGCGAGGGACGAATTGAAGGAGGCGCTCTCGCGCGCGACGAAAAAGATGGAATCCAAACTCGCGTCGGCGACGCGGCGCGTCGAAGCCGCGGAAGCCGCGGAGGCGGTGGCGGAAGAGGAGCTCGCGAAGACGCAGCAGGAGGCGAAAGCCGCCGTCGCCGCGGCGGAGGCGAAAGCCGCGGCGGCGGTCGCGCGCGCGACGTCCGCGTCCGCGTCCGCCGCGAGCGTCGTCGTCGACGACGCGAAGACGCGCGAGCTCGAAGCCGCGCTGTTGCGAGAAACCGCCGCGACGGAGGACGCGACGCGCCGCGCGACGGCGGCGGAGGCGGAGGCGAAGGCGCTGCGGCGAGAGCTCGACGAGGCGAGAGCGGCGGCGTCGCAGGCGGCGGGGAACGTAGCGGAGGCGATCGCCGCGGTGCGCGCGGCGGCGGGCGGCGGCGGCGGCGGCGGCGCGGCCGGAGGGGTGAAGCTGGACATCCACGTGCACGCCGCGGGCGCGGCGGCGGCGGCGGCGGCGGAGACGGAGTTTGGTGCGTTCTATACACTAGTCCCCATACGACCCCGTTCGCGAGGTGGACGCCGATCCTTAAGGACTTTCGCCGGCGCATCTCTCCTCCCACCCCTCGCTTTCAATCCCCGCCCTCGGCGCCTTTCAACTCCGACTGACGCCTTTCAACTCCACCCCGACGTTCGCTTGTATAGAACGGCCCTTTTTCTCGGCGGACCGGTTCGCGCGCGTCGTCGAGGAGAAGCGCGCGCTCGAGCTCGAGCTCGCGGCGCTCCGCGGGACGCCCGTCGCGGCGCTCGCGCTCACCGGGCTGCCGACGCTGCCGACGCCGAGGACGCGCGCGAGGACGTCGCTGCGTCTGAGCCACGGCCCGGCGCCGGCGGCGCTCTCGGAGGACGCGTCGCCGCCGGCGCATTCGCCCGCGACGGAGCTGCGACGACGCGCGAGGGCGATGGGGATGCGCGCGAGCCCGTTCGCGCCGAAGCGGAAGCGCGACGGGAAGTGATCGACGATCGATGGGGGATGGATGGATGGGGGGAGGAAAGTAGCACGACGCGTCCACGACGACGGAGCGGAGCAGAGCAGCGCGGCGCGAACGAACGAACGACCAGACGAGCTCGACGCTCGAGAATAATAAGATGATAGATTCACGATTCTCATCATCGCGAACGAAGGAAGGAGAGCCCACCGCGTCTAATACCCGTAGTAGTCCGACGGCGGACGAGGACCTAAGGCGAACAAGATCGCGGCGCCGATGACGAGCGCGAACCCGCCGATCAAGAACGCGTCCGGGTTCGTCGTCGCGTCTAACGCGTCGTCGATCTGTTCCCCGAAGCCGTACTTGCCGCCCTTTAAGTCCACGTCCCCGAACCGCGCGGGTCCGCCGCTCGGGCTGCTCACCTCCTTCTCCGTCGCCTTCAGCGTCTCACGCAGCTCCTCCGCTTTCGCTTCCTCGTCCGACGCGCTCGACGGCGAGGGCTCGGTGGTCTCGTTCTCGCCCTCGCTCGCGCGGCGACGCGTCGCGCGATCGCTCCGTCGGCGACGACCGAAAGCCCCGGCGTCCCTCCGCCTCGCCACCACCTCCGACGACCGCGACGAGCGCCGTCGCGCGCGCGCGCCTCCGAGCTTCGCGGCGACGCGCGTCGTCGCCGCCGCGGACGTCGTCGCGAGGATCATCGCGTCTTCGCGCGTCGCGAACGCGTGCCCGCGCGCGCGAAGAAGTGACGTGAGCGCGACTACGGATCTCGCGGGACTAAAAGAGTTCGATGCCGATACATCTGTCGCGTCGTCGCCCGCGGCTTCTCAGAACGACAGCGGCGGCGGCACGCGCGCGTCGCGTCCCGGCGCGTCCCGGCGCGTCGCGCGCGTCGTCATGACCGAACTCGCCCCCGCGAGGGACGCCCGCGTCGGCGACGACGACGCCGTCGCGAGCGGGATCACGAGCGCGTGGGAGGACGCGCTCGGGTCCATCCGGAAATTCGCGTCGGACGTGAAGGACCTCAGCGCGAGCGACGTTAAGGAGGCGGTGTCGAAGATCGGCGAGACGACGAAAGGGGACTGGAACGCGTTCAAAGACATCGCGAAGGACCTGGGGACCGAGGTCAGGGACGCGCTCCGACCGGGGGTCGCGTCGGAAGCGCACGCGGCGCTGCGATCGAGCGCGAGCGCGCCGGGGCAGCGTCGCGATCCCGGTCGACCCCCGCGGCACCGCTCGAGCGGCGCCCCGGTCGCGGTGGACGACACGCCGAGGGGGCAGGCGGGGAGGACGCTGGACACCATCTTCGCCGCGCTGAATCCGGCACGAGGCGACGCGGACGACGGGAGCGGGGGGGGGAACAACGCGGTCGTGACGGGGGGGATGCGAGACGGGAATAGCCTTCGACGCGGCGGCGGCGGCGGCGGCGGCGCGACGACGACGACGACGACGACGACGGAGATCACCGAGGCGGACCCCGACGAGGTCGTGATCAACGTCCAGAGCGACGCGACCGTCGCGGCGGCGTTCAGGAAGATCAACGCCCTGTCCGCGAGCGGCGGCGCGGACGGGTGGGAGCCGTTCCCGCTGCCGTCGGCGGTTCGTGAGCTGATGCTCGCCTGCGGGTTCTCGGGGTGGCACCAGCACGCCGTCGCCGCGATGTTCGGCGCGCTGCTGCTGCTGGTCGCGTGGACGTACGCGATGAGGATGTGAGCGACAGACGGCGGCGGGTCGGTACTGTAGTAGTCTAGATAGCGGAGACCGCCGCGCGGTCGCGTTTGGTTTCGCGACGACGATTCGCGCGTGGTGTGACAAAACTCGTCTCGTCTTCTTTCGTTCGCTCGCTCGCTCGCTCGTTCGCTCTCATCACGACGTCGGCTCCAGCGTCATCGGCGTCATCGCGTCGCTCGTCGCGTTCGCCGCCGCGTGCCCGCCCGTGAGCTGCTCCAAGCTCACCGTCTCCACGGGCGGCGACGTCGGCGGCGGCGGCGTGGGCTCCGGCTCCTTGACCCCCGCGAACCAGCCGGCGCGCGACGCCGACGGCTCCTCGATCGGCGTGAACGCGCCCCCCGTCCGTCGCGCGCTCTCCATGCACCCCTGACACACGCGCTGCGGCGTGGCGTACCCTAACCGCGGCAAGTCTACCTTCCATCCCGCGCACTTCTTACAGAAGATGTCCCCGCACGCCCTGCAGTGATGCCGGCGGTTCACGAGCGTGAACGGGGCGTAACACGACTTGCACGCCCTCGACGTCTTATCGTCCGCCCACGGCGGTCGGAACACGACCCCGGGCGGCAGCGTCGCGGCGACGTTCGCGGCTTTGAGGACGAACGCGCCCGCGGCGCCGCCGGCGTGCTGCGCGGCGACGACGTCGAACGGCGCCCCCGCCGGTCGCGCGTCGGAGTACATGGACGCGCTCGGCTCGATCGTCATCGGAACGTCCACGACGAGGTTCGCGTTCACCCCCGCGAGCGTGAACGTCGTCCGCACGTCGTACCCGCAGCGGATCAGCGCGCCGTGCGTGCTCGCGGGCCACCCCGGCGGGATCGGGAACGCGATCGTTCGCTCGCCGAAGTATCCCGGAGCGAACCCGGGGTGCTTCGTCGTCGACATCTCGAAGGTCTTGTTCCACCGCTCGCCGTGCGCTCTGAGGCCGATCGGGACGACCGCGCACGTCGTCATCCCGTGGCACGGCTGCCCCACCGTGCAGTTCGCCTCGATTTTCACGACCGCGACGTCGGCGCCGGGGACGTACGCGCGCTTATCCGTGGATATCGTCGCCTTCAACGCGCCGCCCGTGATGAATTTCCTCGTCGCCGTCGCCGCGGCGCCGCCTCCCGCCGCCGGCATCGTCGACGCGCGCATCATCGCGGACGCGCCGACGCCGCTAGTGACGCCGCTAGTGACGCCGCCACCGCCGTTGCTGCCCTGCTGCGTCACGAGGAAGTGCTTCTTATTCGCGGCGAGGATCTTCTCCCCGGGGGTCAACGACACGGACGGCGCCGCCGGGCCGCCGCCGATCGATCCGTCGCCGCCGCCGCCGTTCGCGCCGCTCGGCTCCTCGTCCGCGGCGGCGACGACCGCGGCGGCGACCGTGTACACGATCTCCGCGAGGTAGCCCCGCCCGAGGCTCCAGTTCCCGCCCGCGACGTAAAACGCGCTCGGTGCCGTCCGCGGCACGACGGCGCTGAACGTCTTCGTCGTCGTCCCGACCCGCATCGATCCCCCCGCGCCGTCCCCGCGCTCGTCCGGGACGTCGATCACGACCCGGCGCTCGCTGAACACGGTCTCCACCTGCGTGATATCGTCCACGATGGAGACGTTCTTGCTCGAGGACTCGTGCCCGTGGCGCGCGCGCCACTCGCGCTCGGCGACGAGGTTCCTAATCTCCGGCTTCGGGTTCGCCTTCAAGAAGGCGTGATGGTCCCTGTGCGACGTCCCCTGGACGTGATGGAACGGCGCGAGCTCGCTCGAGGGGATCGTCAGCGTGCGCTGGAGCGTCACGCGCTCGCGCCCTTGAATCGTCACCTCCACGCGCTGCGATGGGACGAACGGGAGGGAGGGCGGCGTCGGCGTCGACTCGACGGGAGGCGCGGGGTGCCGTCTGTTCGCGCGAGCGAAGCGAAGCGACGGACGACGACGACGACCGACGCGAGATCTGACGAGCGCGGCTCTGCGCGTTCGCGCGCACCTTCGCCTTGACCGGGCCGTCGCACTCGACCTCGACGACGCCGCTGACGGTATCGCCCGCGACGTACGCGCCCTGGTCGACGTCCACGCTCACGCGGACGCCGGGCGACGGGGCGACGGGCTCGGCGCGCGCGGAGCTCGCGCTATCGTTCGTCGTCGCGTCCGACGACGCGACGCGCGCGCGCGCGGTGGGAACCTCCGGCGTCGGCGGCGCCGCGGACGGGGTCGAGGGCGTCGCGGGGACGTCCGGGGACGCCGCGACGATCTCGGACATCGCGTCCGGAGCGCGCGTCCGACGACGCGCGCGAGTGCGACGCGTCGCCTCTCAACGGACCGACGTTTATTCCTGTCGTCGCGACGTTCGACATCAGCGTCGGTGGCGACACGTGTCGGATTGTTTACAGGATGTTCTCTTCGTGGACAAGAGCAGCCGGCGGCGGGGGACGTCGCTGCGTCGCGCGCGTCGTCCGCGCCTCGCGTCGCCGCTGTTCGATCTATGCTCAACGCTCGGCGACCGCGCGCCGTCGATCCACCGTGCCTAACGCAGGTCGCGCCCGGACCCGCTCGGCGCCTCAAATCGTAGTTTGTTCATTCTTTCAATTCATTCTTTCGCCCGTCAACCCACGAGCGCCGCGCTGTTGAACTCCGGCTCGCCGTCGTCCTCCGCGACGTCCGCCTCCATCGCGACCGCGATCGCCGCGCGCGACCGCGGCGACGACCCGCCGCCGTCGCCCGTGCCGGTCGTCGGCGACTTATCCCCGGACTTGGGGTTCGCGGAGCCGTTTCCGTGACCCGAGTTCTTCTCCCCGCCGCGGGATTTTTTATCCGGCAGCGTCCGCGCCTTCCTCTCCGCGATCTCAAACTTCTGGTGCCTCAGCATGAACGCATCGTCGGAGGTATCCTCCGACGACGTGTCGTCACCGTCGTCCTTCCCGCCGCCGGCGCCCTTCTCCGCCGAGACGCCGCCCTCGTTGGCCACCATCGCCGCCGCCGCCGCCGCCTCCGCCGCCGCCAAGCCGCGTTCCTCCACGATGGGCGCCATCGAATACGTCGGCGCCTCCCTGACGTTCGGGACGGAGATCTCCACGCAGTGCGCGCGCTCGACGAACTTCGCCCCCGTCGCGTCCGCGCCGACGACGTCGTTGATGTCGTAGTCCGTTTTGCGCGACTTCTTCTCGTTGGCCCCGTACCCGCCGCCGCGCCCGGCGGCGGCGTTCCTCTTGATCGCGTGGACGTTCCCCGTCGGACCCATGCTCGGCGCGGGCTGCCCGAGGCGCGCGTGCAGCGCGGTCACGCGCTGCTGCAGCACCTCGATCTGCTCGTACAGCGCCGCGGTGGAGAGGTCGGAGTCGCTGCCGCTGTTCTTCGCGCGCGCGGCCGCCGCCGCCGCCGCCGCTGCCGCCGCCACCGCCGCGGCAGCCTTCTTCCGTCGCTTCCGATCCCCCGCGGTGAGCGCCTTCCCGTTCACCTTCCCGTTCGACGGCGCCATCAGCCCGGATCCGTCGATCAACGCCGCGGCGTCGGGGGCGAACAGAGGGTGCGTGATCAAAACTGGCGCCGGCGGCGGCGTGTGCCCGGTGTGGTCCCGTCGACGCTTCATCCGCACGCCTCCGCCGTTCGCGCGCCTCGGCGTCCCGAGCCCGCCGCTCTCGGCGTCCACCTCCGCGGCGACGCCCTCGGCTTCTTTCGCGGCAGCCTCCGCTTTCTTCGCCGCCGCGGCGAGGTCGACGGGGGCGCCGCCCGAGGACCCGGCGCGTCGCGAGGCTTCCGCGTCGCGCTTCTTCGCCGCCTCGATCGCGCGGAGCATGCGCTCGTAGCGCGTCACGTGGCCGTTGACTTCCTTCATGCGCAGCTCGAGCCACTTGCACTGCCACTCCACGTCTCGGCGGTACTGCTTCCACGAGACGTCGAGCGCGCCGGATTTGTCTTTTTTGTCTTTGCTAGATTTCCCCCCCTCGCCCGCGTTCGCGTCGGCGTTCCCCGCGTTCGCGTCGGCGTTCCCGCCGCCGGTGCCGCTCGGCGCGCCGCTCGCGACGCCGTCGCCGAAGCTCTTGCTCGCGTCGCGCCTGATCGCGTTCGCGTCCGACGCGGACGGCTTCCCCGCGCCGCGACCGCCGGCGCCGTCCGGTCCCGTTGATCTTTCCGCCCCGTCCCTCGCGGACGTGTGCGCGGGTCCGTCCTCCACGACCCTCGGGGACTCGCCGCTGCCGGTGTCGCTGAAGGAGCTCCATCCGTTCACGCCGGTCGCGAGGACGTCCGCCCACGGGCTCGTCTTCGCGTTCGCGCTGTCGGGCGTCATGGCGCGCGCGCGCAGATCTCGAGGATCTGAGGCGGAAGTGGAAATCCGCGGGGGATTCGCCCCCACGCGCCCCTTTTTCTCGGAAGACCCGCGCGAAAGGTCCTCGACGCGCACGACGCGCGCGCGCGGATCGCGAAGCGCGCGCGCGCGGTCGAACTCGAGCGTGCGCGACCTGAAGAAAGTCGACCGCGCGCGATCCGCCGTGCGCGAGGTGCGCGCGCGTCTCGCGCGTGTCGACGTTTGCGCGCCGTCAACGCCGTCCCGATTTCCACGTCGACGCCGCCTTGCAACGACGGCGTCTCGTTCGGTCGGCCGACCGCGTCCCCCGCGTACTACGAGCGTTTCCGCATTCTAACTGTTTGCTCGTAAGGCGCCTGTCGGCGTACGACGTCGCACGCCGACGCGGTTTTTTTCGCGCCTTTTCTCGTTGCTCGCACCGCGAAAAACTTGAAACAACAGCTCGGCCGAATCCGCACGCTCGTCGCGGCGACATGGAGCCTCACGCGCTCCCGCCGTCCCCGCGCGAGCACCCGCCGCCGTTCCCGTACCCGAGCCCGCGATCGAGCAAGGTCGGGCCGGTGTCTTACCGCGGCGGCGGCGGGAACGCGTCGAAATCGTTGGACGCGAAGGCGCTGAGAGATTTACCCGCGGTGGACTTCAACGATCGCGGTCGCGTCCGCGGGTCCGTGGACGTCGCGTCCTCGGATCCCGCGCCGTTCGCGTCCTCGAGCGCGTACTTTGACGTCCTCGACGCCGCGGTGCGAAAAAGCCGCGACGAGCGCGTGCCGCGGTACGCGCACGTCGTGAGCGATTCGCGAGCGAGCACCCTGGACGAGCGCGACGATTTGAAGTCGACCCGCGACGGCGGCGGCGCCGCCGCGGCGGGGCGGCGGCGCGTCCACGCGACGGCGACGCTCGCGGCGGCGGCGTCGTCGTCAGCGCCGCGCGATCAAGACGGCGCGATCGTCGGCGAGGACGGCGCCCCGCTGGAGATGGACGCGAGGACCGCGGACGTCCTCGCGATGCAACAGACGCAGCTCGTGGAGTTGAACGCGCAGCTGGTCGCGCTGCGTTCGCAGATGTCGCACATGAAGTCGGACGGCGGCGACAAGCTCGGCGGCGACAAGCTCGGCGGTGGCGCGTCAGGGATCGAGAACCGCCCGAAGTCGATGTTCAAACGCGTGGACGTCCGCGCGTCGAGGAACGGGTCGACGCGATCGTCGTCGTCGTCGATGCGCGGCGGCGACGCAGGCGTTCGAATCGGCGACGACTCCGCGTCTCGGTACCCGTTTGGAGGCGCCCCGCCGCCGACTCGCGTCGACGTCGACGTCGACGTCGACGTCGACGTCGGCGGGCGCCGCGTCGCGGACGCGTGCACGAACACGATGTGGGCGAAGCCGGCGCCGTTAGAGCCCGGGACGAAGGGAGGGGAGGACCACGCGGCGGGGACGAACGACGCCGACGACGCGAGCGCGTGGACGTACGAAGGGAAAGGCAGGAAGAGCCGAGGGTGCGCGACCGATCCGTGGGTGGTCTCGGAGAGCGGCGACGCGGTCGCGGCATCGCGCGCGAGCCCGCGGCGGCGCGGCGCGGGGATTTTGCGACGGTCGCGCGTCGGCGGCGCGAGCGGCGGGGACAAGTCGGAGACGCGCGACGCGCCGCCGCCGCTGCCGCCGACGGAGAAGGCGAAGGCGCCCGCGGCGTCGGAGAACGAACCTTCTTCGTCCGACAAAGTGTCCGGCAACATACCGTCCGGCGCCGGCGCCGGCGAGGGCGAGGGTGGCGGCGGCGGCGAGGGCCCCGCGCTCCCCGCGGGCGGCGTGCTCATCCCGAGCAGCACGTCCGCGTTCGTCCGCGTCGGCGTCGACCCGGGCGTCGACGCGACCTCTTCCGACGCGCCGGCGCCGAACTCCGCGCGGTCGAGCCAAGAGGTCGGAGCGCAGCGCGCGTCGCGGAAGGACATCGCGCGGTGGAGCGTCAACAGCGACGCGTCGAGCGTGTCGTCGCTCGCCGCGCTCGCCGCTGCGGAGGCCGCGGGTGCGCGGGAGGGACCCGGCCGCGACCGCGACGCCGGAGCCGCGGCGCCGGAGTCCCCCAAGCCCGCGTTCGCGCGGTTTCCGCTCTTCGCGGACGGCGACGCGAGCCCGGAGGAGCGCTCGCCGGCGTTCGAGAACGACGAAAAGGGCGAGGGCGGGGAGGACGAAGAGGACGCGGACGCGCGCGCGTCCCGAGATTCGATCCAATCGTACAGCCTCCGAGGGAACTTGAATCGCCGCGACGTGGACCCGGACGCGCCGCCCGCAGACAGCGACGACGACGACGCGGCGGACTACGACGACGACGACGACGACGACGACGCGGGAACGACCGTCACCGGGACGACGTCGATGATCGGCGACCGCGACTGGGCGCCGCCCGGACGCTGGAAAACGCAAAAGATGGACGTCGGCGTGTGCTACGCCGACGACGCCGACGACGCCGACGAGGACGACGGCGCGAGCGACGCGTCGAGCGCGCGCTCCGTCCCGAAGATAAAAGGGAAGGTGATCGGGAAGAAGGCCGTGACCTGGGACGAGAAAGCGCCGCGGGTGAAGGTCGTGGAGAAGGAATACGACGACGATCTCAAGACGCACGCGCTCAAGAGCGACGGCTTGGCGACGATCACGTACGTGCCGCTGTCCGACGACGAGTCCTCGGACGACGAAGAGATGCGCGCGCTCTACAGGAAGTATCTGGGGAACGGCAAGGCGCTGGAGGCGCTGGGCGCGGAGTCGTGACGCGAGCGAGAGGGCGCGGAGTCGCGCGATTCGAAAAATGAGCTTCGTTGAACATACACACGCGTCGCACGTTCTAGCGAAGCGGGCGGCCGGACGCGCGCGCGCTCCGGCCGATCAGCGCGCGCCGACGACGACGACGACGCGAACCGTCGACCGCGCCGCCGCGTACGCGCAATCGTCTCGCGTCGTCGACGCGACTCACCACTGCCGCGCCCCCCACTGGAACTCGGCCATGAGCGGGATATGATCGCTCGACGACTGCGTGTTCGGCAGCCCGCCGTACTTCGACCGGACGTCGCTCTCCGCGGGAAGCTCCAACAGCCCGAGCGGCGCGAGCGTGTCGTCGGTGTAGAAGATGTAATCCAGCGCCCCGAAAAACTCGCGCGTGCAGTTCGTGAAAATCGGCTCCCCCGTCCCCGCGCCGTCCACGCGCGATCGCTGCCGCTCCGCCGCCTCGCTCTCCAGGCACGGCTGCTTTGTCAGCGCGGTGTACGCGCTCACGAGCGGTAAGGGGTGCTGAAGCTTCGACGGCGGTCGCAGAATCCCAAACGGATCCGTCGCGAGCTCCGGGTGCGCGGCGTCGACCCGCCCGCCCGTGAGTAAGTTGTGCGCGGCGGACCCCGGCGTGGAGTTGAAATCGCCGCAGACCACCATGGGTATCTCCGCGCTCGCGGCGATCTTCTCCAACCCCTTCAGCAGCGTGTGCACCTGCCACAGCTTCACGTCGTTCAGCTCCGTGTTGGCGTGGATGTGCGTGTTCGCGACGCACAGGAGCTGCCGTTTCCCCGCGGGCGCCTGCTGCCCGTTCGCCTCGAGCGCCTCCAAGACGACGATGAGCGCGACGTTGTCCTTCATCAACCGGTTCAGCGCGTCCTTCTTCTGCGACGACCCTCCTAAGCTCTCGACCAGCGACAGCGCGGCTTTGTTGAACTCGACCTCGTACTTTTTAATCAGCTGAAACCGATCCTTCTTGAAGAAGATCGCGCACCCGTCGATGACGTACGTCCCTTGCGAAAACACCTGCGTGGTTTTCTTCTTGTACACGGAAGTGTACCCGTGCTTCCCGAGCTCGCCTTGGAAGAAATCCTCGAAGTGATCGGACTGGACTTCCTGTAAACACAGAATATCCGCGTCGTGCATGACGATCTCCTTGAGGATGTTCTGCCGGCGGTAGTTCCACGACAGCGCCCACGACGGGGTGTAGTGATACAGCTCGCTCGTCGCGTACAGATCCGCGAGGACGTTGTACGTCAACACCGTGAACTTCCCGCCGTCCGGGTTGTCGTGGTGCGCGACCGGGACGAGGTTCCTCCTCGGCGGCATCGGCGCCGGGATGACGCGCGCGGTCGTGAACCCCTCCGTGCCGCCCTTGGGCTCCCCCGTCGTGTTCTCCGCGCCGACGACTTCGAATCTCAAGAGGTGCCCGACGTCCTCCAGCGTCGCCGCGTACGTTTTGCTTCGGCCCACCTCTTGCCACGTCTCCGGCTCGTCCTTCCCCGGCCCTTTGTTGCGATCGCCGTTGTAGGCGTTCGCTCGCTCCTGCTTGTGGTGCGCGTTGAAGTCCATGGACCCGCCCGCGGCGGAGAGGAGGTTCGACGAGCTCCCCCCCGCGTTGTTCTCCTTCATCGACGGCGGACGCCACAGCGGCGTGCGCTCGGGCGCGGTCTCCCCTAACCCCGCAGCCTGCCTCGCGAGCTTGTCCCGCATCCACTCCCGCCACGACTGCGCGAAGCACTCCTCGCCGCAGTGGTACGACTTGCTGTGCACGTTCTGGAGCACCGCGGGCTCGCCCGGGTGGACGCTGCAGACGCTCGCCTTTTTGTGCGATCCGGAGCGGTACCACCGGTACTGGAGATGGCATCCGTCGGAGGGTTCGCTCTCGGGGATGTCCGCGGTCGTGGAGGAGCCGTCCGACTTGCGCGTCACGACGTAAGGCGTCAGCTCCACGCTGTGGACAGAACGACGGGGGGAGGAGAGGGGGTCAGCGAACCGCGCGCGGGAACGAAGGGGGCGGATCGTCGTGGTCTTTTTTTGAAGTAGCGCGGCCGACGGACGCGGGACGCGCGCGGGCGGGGGACGCACCCGGAGATTGGCGTGTCGTGGTTCAGCGACGCGCGGACGACGGTCAACACCATGACGCCCGCGCGCGGGGTTTGAATTCCTCGCCCCGCGTTTCTCGGTCACGAGGCGTCAAACCCCACGGATCGACCTCGAAGCGACGCCCCCGGCGCGAGAGAGAGAATCGAACTCTCAGACCGAGAAGATCGCGCGAGAAACCCTCGGCGGCGATCGGCGTCGGGACGCGCGCGCGACCGTCGCCCGGATCCTCGCGCGGGGTGAACGCGCGACGGGAGGGTCTGTCGAGCGCGGGAAACGCGCGCTGCGGCACTCCGCGCGTCGCGTCGTCGCCTGTGCCGCGTCTCCGGTCGGCGTGCCGATGTGCGCTCTCGCCCTGAAGCGCGCTTCGAGCGGCGAGTGATCGGGCCTGGCGCACTTCAGGCTGGTAGGCTGGGCAGGTAGGCTGGGCGCTTCCTGTCACAAACAGACAGGTGGTGAAAGTTCACACAGCATAGTCCACGCACTCAAGCTAGTCGCTCGTTCTCTCGTTCGTCGTCGTCGTCGCCCCTCCCCCCCCCGACCCTAGAGATCCCACGCCGCGTCGAGCCGCGAGGACAGCGCCCGCGACCTCCCGCCCTCGCCCGCGCCGGACACCGGGGTGAGGAGCTGTATCGCGGAGAACGCGTCCGCCAGTCTCGCGCCGCCGCCGCCGCCGCCGCCGCCGCCGCCGCCGGACGCGTCCGCGGTGGACGACTCCGCCGTGGACGGCGCCGGCGGCATCGTGACGCACGACAGCGGCGGCGGCGACTTCGCGTCGTCTGCGTCGGCGTCTTCTTCTTCGTCGTCGTCTTCTAGACACTCGTCCTTCCTCTCGGCGGCGGCGGCGGCGGCTGCGGCGGCGTTCTCGCCGGGGGAGAGAAGGGAGAGCGAGGACGCGCGCGCGTCTTCGGGGTCGAGGACGCGCGCGCGTCGGGGGAGCTTCCGCGGCGCGACCGACGCGTCGTCGGCGGCGGCGGCGGCCTCGGCGTCGGTCGTCGCGCGCGCGTCGTCGCGCGCGGGTCGCTTCCGCGGCGACGGCGCGAGCCTTCGCGGCGCTTCGAAGGGGTCTTTCGCGAGAACGCGCGACGTCGTGCCGAAGAGAGAGACGCGCCGCGGCGACGTGAGCGCGTCGCCGGGGGGGCAGGACGGCGCGCCGACGCCGATCCCGAGGCCGACGCGATCGCGCAGCGTCATCGTCCTCCTCCTCGAACGAACGCGCGGCCCCGCGCGGGGTGCACTGAAAACGCGTCCGCGTCGTTGCGCGCACAGCTTGCGTCGGTCCCCTCCGACGAATAAAACTCTCAGCGAACGCCCGCGCCCTTCCGCCTGCCGGCGCCCACCCTCGGAAGTGGCGACAGGAGCGTTCGATCCGCGGCGGCGACGACGCGCGCCCGCGGAAGGCCACCCACTCGCCCCCGCCCCCACCCGCCCCAGCCGCCGCCGACGGCCGCGATGCTCCGAGGCGCGCGCGAGAAGCACGCGCACGCGCTGCGGCGGACCGTCTCCGAGACGGAGAAGTTCGCGCTCCTGAGGGGCGACGACCGCGACGACGGCGGCGCGACGCGCGCGTGCGGCGCGGCGCTCGCGCGCGCGCGCGCGTGGCTCGCGTCGTGCCCGTGGACGTTCGCGTGCTGCGCCCTTCTCGCGGTCGCGCTCGCGTGGACGGGGGTGTTCCTGTGCGACGTCGCCGCGACGGCCGCGCTGACGGACGGCGCCGCCGCGGCGTCGGCGACGTCCGAGCCGTACGGGTGGTACGGCAAGCTCAAGGACGACGCGTCCGCGCGGCTCGCGCTCACGAAGGCGGGGCTGTGGGGGGCGCTCAGAGGCGACGACGGCGGCGGCGCGTCCGAGGGAAGCGACGCCGCGCGTTTCAGGCGCGCGACGAGGGAAAAGTGCGGCGAGGACGCGCGCGGCGGGGCGCTCGGTCTTCCGATGTATTCCTACCGCGACGCGATGGCGGACAAGGACGCGAGCGTGAACGTCCGCGACATCGCGCGGTCCGCGGCGCGCGACCGCCGCGACTTCGCCAAGATCCAGTGGGAGAGCGAAGCCGCGGACAGAGCGTGGAGAGCGCGCGACGCGGACGCGGCGGGCGGCGCCGGCGCCGCAGCCGGCGGCGCCGCGTCGCTCCGCGCCGCCGCCGCCGCGACGGACGTCGTCGCGCGGCTCGGCCGCCGCCGCCTCGACGACGCGTATCCGCCGCCGCCGCCTCCTCCTCTTCCCCCCCCGCGCGCGCCGCCGCGGAAGCTCAAGCGCCTGATCGCGACGCATCACAAGACGGGGACCGCGTTGATGCGCGACGTCTTCCACGCCGTCGGCGAAAAGTACCCCGAGTACGGCGGGTTCGCGGACGTGCGGGACGTGGAGGATCACCCGAGGAAGTACGACGCGCGGGAGATAGCGGACGTGCGAGGGAAAGGGATCGTGCTGGATTATCACCTCGGGAAGGCGTTGCCGCGGTTTTTGTTCCCTCGCGGCGCGGCCGCGGCGGCGGGCGACAGCGGCGACGGCGACGGCGACGACGGCGACGACGCGCGCGAGTGCGCGTCGTTCCCTTCCGTCTTCACCTCCCCCCCTCCCGCGTCGAACGCGTCGTCGCCGCCGCCGCTTCAGGCGACGCCGTACCGCATGGTACACGTCGTCAGAGACCCCGTCGAGGTCCTCGTCAGCGGTTTCTTGTATCACCGACGACGCCCCGCGGACGAGCAGTGGCTGTTCGAGCCCGTGAAGGAACTGAGAGGCAAGACGTACGCGGACCATCTCACGACCGCGAACCCCGCGGAGGCGATGATGGCGGAGCTCTCCATGGCGGACGACGAGCTCCGCATGCTCGCGCTGGCGTACCGTGACGTGGAGCGCGACCCGAACGCGATGAACGTCAAGCTCGAGGAGTTCTTCGACGACTTCGACGCCGCGGCGGGGAAAGTGTTTCGATTCTTGCGGTTCGACGAGCGCGACATCCCCGAGCTCGTGAAGCTCGCGGGGACGTTCGACATGCGACGGTGGACGGAGGAGGAGCTCAAGGTGAACGAGCACTTCACGCGGCGCGAGGACCGAACGCCGTACCAGGCCGTGGTCAGGGAGGACGGGTTCCTAAACAAGACGATGAGCGCGTTGAGATACGCGCTCGGGTACGAAGACGCGTTTCCTCTCCACGCGTGACCGGGGAGGGCTTAGCGCTCTGAGAGCGTTCGAACGGAATGACGTGACGACCGCGCGTAAAGAATATCGTACGTTACAATCAAAGGCGCGCGCGCCTGAAACGACAACCCCCCCAACCCTCTCTGCGTTCGCGAGACGAACTCCCGACGTGATCATCGATCACTCCGCCGCCGGGATGCCGTTCGGCGACGCGTTTTCCGTGATCCACGGGTGCTCCAACAGCTTGCTCAGCTGCAAGCGCGTCTTCGGGTCCTTCGTCAGGAGCGCGCTAATCATGTCCCGCGCGTTCGCGCTGACGTGCGATGGGAAGTGAAGGTCCACGCGGAGGATCCGTTTGTACGTCTCCGAGTGCCCCTCGGCTTCGAACGGAGGGACGCCGCAGAGAAACTCGTACGCGAGAACGCCGAGGGACCACACGTCCACGGCGCTGTCGTGGTCTCTTCCCTCGACCATCTCCGGGGGGAGGTAATCCAGCGTCCCGCACAGCGTCTGTCGTCGCGAGTTCGGCGCGTGCACGCTCCAGCCAAAGTCCGCGATCTTGAGCTCGCCTTTGATCCCGATGAGGAGGTTCTCTGGCTTGATGTCGCGGTGGATGACGTGCTTGTGATGGCAGTACATCAACGCGCGCGCGAGCGATGCTATGTACGTCGCGCTCTTCTTCTCGCTGAATCGCTTCGTTTTTTGGAGTTCTTTGTACAGCTCACCTCGCGCGGCGTACTCGAGGATCAGGTACACGCGGTTCTGTGGGTTCAGGAGGGCGAGGGGCGACGGGTGAGTCTCGGCGCGCGAGAGCGAGAGGGGACGCGACGTCGCCGCGGGCGGGCGCCGCGAACGAAGAAAAGATTCATCACGTCGCGCGGGGGCGCATCGATTGGACGCCGCGAGGGCGTCGACGACGACGCGTCGAGGACCAACGAGACGAGCGATCGCGACGCGCACCTGGTCGTAAAAGTACCCGTACAGCCTCAGGATATTCGGATGCCGCAAGTGCGACTGAATCTCGATCTCTCTGCGAAGCTGATGCTCCACGTGCGACTGTTGGAGCTGGTTCTTGAAGAGCACCTTCAGCGCGACGATGTACTTGCTTCGCTTCTCGCGCGCGAGGTAGACGTTCCCAAACTTGCCCCGACCGAGCGGTTTGCCGATGTCGAAGTCGCTCAGCTGCGCGCGCGGGTGGGTCGCGTGGGGGAGTGTGGTCAGGACGACGGCGTCGCGGGGCGAGGCGGCGAGCGCGCCGCTCACTCGCGATGAAAGTGTTAGCCGTTTGCGCGCGGCGCGTCGAATCTCAAATCCGCGCTCGACGGGTCGCGACGGAGACGCGCGCGGGCGACGCGACGCGACGTCGGGACGACCGCCGAGACGGGAGAGAGGGAATCGAAACACACCTGCCAACGTTTCTCCGCGGGAGCTTCCTCCCCGCTCGTGCTCGCGTTCGCCGCCGCGCCGCGCGCGGCGCCGGTGTTCTCCTTTCCGGCATCGCTCGCGTTCGTTGTGACCCCCGCGCCTCTGGCCGCGGGCATCGCGAACTCGACGCTCTTCGCCGGCGCGGTCGTCGTCGTTCCCGCGCGGAACGCGTTCCCTTGGCTCGATGCCAACACCCCCGCATTGCCTAAAATGTTCGAACGCGCGTTCGCGTCCATGATCGCGGTCGTTTCCGCGAGCGCCTGCGTGCGGGAAACGGGGAGATTCATTCGCGGGTCAGTCGCGCGAGATTCGACGCGGCCGCGCCTCCGCCGGAAGACGCGCGCTGCGACGCGCGCGAGGAGCGAGGCGTCGACGCACCGTTAGATTGCGACTTCACGCGTGATCCCTCGCGCGTTCGCGGCGCGAACGAGGACGTGCGGCGTGCGTGCGCGCGCTGCGTAGTGCCTCGCCGCGGTGGGAGCAACGGTTTCTCGGAGCTGTCGAAAAATTAATCGAACACCACGCGCCGCGAGCGAGAGCTGCGGACCTGAGCTGCGGGTGCCATCTTTTAAAAGGCTCCGCGCGTCCCGCCCGCGCACGCGTCGCGTCCCGCACCGCAAACTCGCGCGGCGTCGCGCACGCACTTCGCGAGATTCTCCACGCGCGCAACATGTCCCACGACGACGCGACGAACCCCGGCGAGGCCGCGCCCGCGGCGGCCGTGGAGGCGACGGACGCGAAAACCACGAAAGACGACGCCCCGAGCGCCGCGGGTGCCGTTCGAAAGGCGTCCGCGGACGCGGACGGCGACGCCGCGCGCGCGGCGCCGAGACCGCGCGCGGGATCCGTGGAGTCCACGGACGACGCGCTCGCGATGGCGCTCGGCGGCGCGAGCCAAGAGACGCCGGTCATCGCGCCGCCGCCGCCCGTCGTCGTCGCGGACCTCGACCTGAACGAGGCGCGTGAGATCCGCCAGATCCTTTCGCGCGTCGTTCGTAGTCTTCAAATCCATCCATCACTCCCATCCATCACTCCCATCCATCACTCCCATCCGTCCGTCCTTCCGTCCGTCCTCGATCGACCGCGCGCCGTCCCTTCTCACGAAAACCACTCAAACCACTCAAACCACTCCGTCCTCAACGCACACTTACGCAGGGCGACCGCCTCGAGGTCAAGTGGGACATCTCCGAGGGGCCCGACCCGGAGTCCCCCGACGCGACGAGCGTCGTCGTGTGGTGGGGCGGCGCGTTGCGTCCGCCGACGTCGCGCGGCGAAGACGACGTGACCGCGGCGGCGTTGCTCGCGAAGGGCGAGTGGGATCTGCACTACGACGCGAAGAGCGAGCACGGCATCGAGACCGTGGACGTTCGACGCGTGCGGTTCGTGTCGGGGAGGAAGCTCGAGGACGTGGACGAGGAAGCGAGGATGCGGTGGCGGAGAGAAGGCGCTCTCGACGACGACGCCGGCGACTCCGACGACGACGACGACTCCGACGAAGACGATCTGGACCCGAACCTGATCAACGTCGCCGCGGTGCCGGAGAACGCGGAGGTCTCCCTCGCGTCCATCGCGCGCGCGCAGAGAGACGTGGACCAGAGCGTCGAGCAGAGAGGCGGCGTCGGCGTGGAGCGCGCCGGTCTGGACGCGTTCGGGCAGATGCCGTTGGACCGGCAGCGGAGGATGGCGGAGGCGTTCGCGAGCATGAAGGACGGGCTCTCGTCCGCGTTCGCGGCGTTGCAGGAGCGACACGGGGCGGACTACGCGATCACGAAGGAGGACGTGGACGAGATCATGAGGGGGATGCGGTCGTGAGGGGAGAGAGAGAGAGGGCGGGGGTGGGGGGGGTTGAAGAGATTTTTCGAGAACACATCAACGTCGAGTCTGTTATTACACACGTTTGTTTACACGTGCCTCGGGATGCCAAATTCGGAACACGTTGACCGGTGTTTTCGAGGGTTTTCACCGACGACTCGCGTTTTCATAGGTTCGATCGCGAACGATTCGCCGCGTTGATCGCGATTCGTTGATCGCGTGTGCGCCTTTCTCCCGTCCGGAGCGTCGCGTCGCGTGCTAAGTTTCAGATTCGTTCGTACGTGCGCGTCCGTCCATCCGCGCGCTGTCGCACACTGTCGACCCGCGCCGCGCACGTCCGGCGTCGTTCGCGCGTCAGGTCGCGAGAACCTTTCCGTTTCGGCACCTCGTCGATCGCACCCGCGCACAGGACGCGCGCGCGACGAGGGCGGGAGGAATAATCGCCGTCGATCGATCGCGCATTTGGCGTCGCGCGTTCGACTGAACGGATTTCTGCGCGCGCGCCGCGTCTCGAACGATGGAGGTTCATCCCGAGGTGTACAAGTGGCTCGGCGCGCTCGGATGCGTGGACGACCGCGCGCACCCGCAGATGAACGCTCGAGGCCTCGTGGTCATGGACGATAACTCGTCGTACGCGTTCGAGAACGGATCGGTGCGTCCCCGCGCGCGTGTTTCAAGTTCGCGCCCTGCGCGTGATTGATTCTCTTCTGATGGGGGCGCGGTTGACCCGCGCGTCCCGCGCGCGCGACGCCGCGCGCGCGCGTCCGACCGCGTCCCCGACCGCGATCACGCCCCTCGAGTCGTCACTCTAGGATCCCCCGCTCGTCCGCGTCGTCTCGCGCCGTCGCGATCGATATCGCGCGCGATCCGCGCGCGAGCCCGTCGCCGATCGACGACGACCGCCGCCCGCTCACGCGTATTATCTTCCCCGGTGTGGTCCCTTCGCGAATCGATCAGGCTTTCGGGACGCTGCTCTCGAACCTCGGCGCGCAACGCGGGATGCCCCCGGCGCCGTTAGATTCGTTCAAGGACGGCGACGGACCCGTCGCGAGGCTGTACAACTGGAACCTCCTCGGCCCCGTGCTGAAGCCGTTCGGGATCGTCCTCGACGACAACGCGAAATCCCTGCTCGTCGCCGGAGGTGCGCAAACGCGCGAACAAAAAAACGCGATCCCAATTCGTCTCCGCCGCCTCTCCCGCCCTCCCCCTCCTCCCGACGCTGACGATCGCTCTCTTTTGTCGATCCACAGACTCGGACAAGTGCGCGTCGCTCCTCGCGCAGTTCTACGAGCGCGTCGTCGGGATTCTCCCGCCGTTGATCCGCGCGGGGGCGTCCCCGAGCCAACGCGGCGGCGCGCGTCCCGAGTCCAACTCGAGCTCGAAAAATTACAACGCCGAGATGGACAACGCGATGGCGTTCTCGAGCGTGAAATCCCCGGCACCGTACAACGACCGCATGGGCCACCTCATGAATAACGGCGAGAACTTCACGAACAGGGAGCTGGACGACGAGTTCGGCCCCGCGACCGGGTCCCGGATGAACGGCGAGCTCGACGCCGTGGAGATGCGCGTCAACTCCCCCGGGCCGCTCCCGTTGGGTCAACGCGATGACCCGTTCCAGTTTGAAAAGGGAGGGAGCGAGCCGGAGACGCCACTGGACTTGCTCGGGCGGACCGTTGAGGGGCCGTTCGGTCTGAAGCAAGGCCAGGGCGTCGTCCTCGTCGGGCAGCAGGCGAGCAAGTTTCTCGACTGGGTCAGAGCCGGGGACAAGCCCGGGTCGAGGTCCAACGCCGCGAAGAAGTGGCTCGACGGGTTGCACGTGGAGATGAAGTTCCTCGCGGAGCTTCTCGCGCGCGAGGGCGGGCAGAGCATGCAGGCGACGATGGACGTCCTCTCCGCCGGTCTCTTGTCGCACGACAAGCAGATCGTGGCGAAGACGTTGCGCGCGCTCTGCGCGTTGGCAAACGCGCTCGGCCCGGAGGCGCTCCCGGCGGCGAACGATTGGCTCACCGCTCCGGGCGGACCGACCGTCGCGCTCACGACGCTGCTGTGCGACGCCGGCGGCACGGTGAACACGTCGAACATTCGCGTCGGCGACGCGAAGGCGGTCGCGGAGGCTGCGCGAGCCGCGGCGAGAGACGCGATGCCGAATTATGCGGAGAACCCGGAGGAGGTGGCGGGCGCGAGATTCGCGCTCGGATACCACGGGCAAGAGGACGGGAGCGACGAGTGGGTGATGCGCGCGCAAATCGCGGCCGCGATCGCGGAGATTGTCGAACGCATCTGCAGCGAAGGGCTGCATCATTTCCTCCTGGAGGACTTGCGGAACGGCGCGGACGCGCGGACGAACCCGCGGCGATTCGTGGACGCGTTGAACGTGTTGATTCCCGCGTTGCTCGCCCGAGGGGCGGGGCCGCGGAACGCGATCGCGGGCGCGGACACCCCCGGGGCGATCCTCCTCGAGGCGCTGCGCTGCGCGGAGGGACCCGTGGAGCTCCGCGAGAGCGCTCTGACGTTGCTCACGACGCTCTGGTCCGCGTTCCCGGACGAGATTGAAGTCATCGGGGACGATTGCAGGAAAGCCGTCGCGGTGTTGAAGAAGACGGCGCGCGACCCGCAACCGGCGACGCAGATCCACGCGCTCGCGTGCATGTTCCAGCTCCTGCACGCGTTCATCAACAGCGGGAACGCGTACTCCCCGGTCGTGTACAAGACGATCGTGTTCATGTTCATCGAGCACGTGCGCAACAACCCGGTCAGGGACTTCATAAGCGCCGAGCTCAAGGTTGCGTTGGATTCGCACGCGAACATTCCCGTCGGGATTCTCGTCGACCCGGTGGTGAAGCAGAGCGCGCAGGGGGGATCGCACCCGGGATTAAAGCGCGTCGACTTCGCGCTCATCGCGTCCATGGCCGAGCACGCGCGGCTCGAAGCGCGACCGGCGCTGCACTTGCTGAACATGTGCCTGACTACCGCGCTCGATCACGTCGATCCCGATGGGAGGGCGCTGAAGCACCTCACGCAAGAGCGCGCCATCGCGCTCAAGGCTGCGACGCGACTCGCCGCGCGGCTCAAGGGCGAGGACGCCGCGGAGGAGACGATCGAGCGCGCCGCGGGCGCGGCGATGTCGCGCCTCATGATGGGCGGCCGCTCCACGGATGGGTCGAGGACCGAGGAACAGAGGGCCGCGGGGGAGACGATCGCGGCGTGCGCCACGGCGATGGCGAAAGTCGCGGGGCCGGGCGTGTTGCACCTCAAGGACATTCTCCGAAGCGGCGGCGCGTCGTACGCGTCGAAGCTCGGGCATCACAGCAAGGACATCGACAACGCGTTGACCATCCTGCAGAAGGCGATGCGGAACTCCTCGGACGAAGAGTACTTAGCGAGTAGATCGTCCCCGCAGCGCGGCGGGGAGGACGCGTACGAGGAGGACGAAGGCGAAGACGGCGAGTACGGCGCGAGGAAACACCCGCGAGCGGCACCGCTGCCGCTCGAATCCCCCGACGACTCCCCTGGAGGATCGGACGGCATGGATCCGCACCAGAGGGAGTCCATGCGGATGATCCAGAGGATGGAGCACATGAACGTGGGCGGGCGGCCGACGCCCGGGCCGCCGCCGCTCGCGTCGGAGTACTTCGCGGACACGCCGACGGCGTTCGGCGACGCGCAGCCGAAAAGAGTTGGCTTCGAGGGCATCTCTCGCGCGGGCGGCGCGCTCGCCGCGCAGGGGAGGTACGCGCGGGAGAATCCCACGCCGGTCACGCGTCCGGGCCCGGCGCGGGCGCCGTCGGGCCCGAAGACGCGCTTACACGGCGAGGACTACCGGAACATGCCCAAGGGCGAGCGGCTTCGGCTGCAACGCGAAGAACGCGAGCGCGAGATTCACGCCATCGCGGTGAAGAATCGCGAGAAGCAAATCGCGAAAGAGATGGAGATGGAAGCGAAGCTCGCGAAGGAGGCGAAGCTCGAGGCGAGGATCAAGAAGAAGCGCTTAGAGCTCGCCGCCGCCGCGCGCGCGTCCGGGAGAACGGACGCGTTCGACTCGTTGTCCTCCCCGAACCGGATGGGCGGGATGCAAGGCGCTTCCCCGGCGGCGTCCGCGGCGCTGCTCGGGGAAGCCGCGCAGGCGCAAGTTCGAAAAACCCTGAACGCGCGCCTCGCGAAAGATTCCGATTGCGACCTCCCGCCCGGGTACGAGCGCGTGAACGACGGCGGGCACTTCTTCTGCCGGCTCACGCAGGAAGCGCTCGCGGAAGCGGACGAGTGGAGAGTACAAAACGGAGGCGAGGCGCTCAGCTCGGAGAAGAGGACGCTGTCCCCCGCGGAAACCGCCGGGATGATGAGTCGGCTCACGAAATCGCAGACGTTCCTTCAGAGGAAGAAGGAAGCGGAGAAGGAAGCGCTCGAGGCGAAGAAAGCCGAGGAGCTCGCGGCGATCAAGCGGAAAGAAGCGAAGATCAACGCGCACAACGCTAAGGTCAAGGCGGAGATGGAGCAGATCAAGGCGAAGAAGGCGGAGACGGAGCGGGAGGAGAAGGCGAAGAAAAAAGCGGCGCTGGAGAAGAAACGCGCCAAGGCGGCGGAGAAGGCGGCGGAGGAGGCGCGGGAGAGAGAGGAGAAGAAATCGCAGTTGGCGGCGTACGAGGCGAAGAAAAAGCAGGAGCTCGCGGAGAAGATGCGCGCGGAGAAGGCCAAGGCGGTGGCGGATAGGGAAGCACGGCAACGCGCCGCGGAGGAGGTGATGCGGAAGCGGCAAGGTTTGCCCCCGAAGGAGGCAGAGGCGAAGAAGGCGATGACGAAGGCTGAGAAGAAACGCGCGGAGGCGCAGAAGAAGAAGGAATTGCAGATTAAGAAGATGCAGCTGAACAAGTCTCCGACGATGAAGATGCCTGAACCGAAGGCGCCGGTCCCGAAGGCGAGGGGAGGGAAGGCGGCGACGCCGTCGGCGCCAGCGCCGGCGGCGAAGGGCGGAACGGCGACGGCGAAGTCGCCCAAGAAGGCCGCGCCGATCAAGCCGGTTCTGAGCAAAAAGGGGAAGTAAGCGAATCGATTCATTCGCGTTAAGTCACCGGGGTGCACATGTAGTTTTTCTTTCGATTGTTCATATTAAGATAAGGTTAAGGTCATCTAATGAACCCGACGAACCCTCGGCGTCTCCGGGACGTCTTCTTCTCCGGCGTCCTCGACGTCGACGGTTTCCCCTACGACGCCTTCGACGTCGTCGAAGTCGCTGAAGTCCACGCCGTCGGCGTCGGCGTCGGCGGCGATCTCATCGGTGGCGTCGACGACGTCGCTTTCCTTCGAGGATGTCGAGGTCGAGTCCTCAACGTCCGCCGCCTCCGTCCGAGCCGCGGGCGCGGGCGCCGTCCTCGCCTCCGCGCGCGGGGGCGCGTTTTTTCTTCGCTCCGCCTCGCGCTTGTGATGAAACAAGATGCTCTCCGGCTTATCCTCGTCCGCGCGCTCGACGATCGCGGGGATGTCCGCGCGCGAGACGTGACACCACGTCGGCTGCTTCATCGTCTCCGCGGTCTCCATCCCCAACCCGCCGCGATTGTTCACGAAGTTCGTCATGTTCTCCCACCGCTCGTCGCACGCCGCGCCCGAGTGCGCGACGTCGTCGTACCCCAACGAAAACATCCACTCCAACGTCGCGCGCGCGTCCGCGAGCGCGTCCCTCGACGCCCCGCGCGTCCTGCGAGGCGTGAGCTCGAGCAGCACGATCGGCGGCGGGCGCTCGGCGAGCAGCCGCCGCGCGCCCTCGAGGACGTGCGTCTCCCAGCCGTCGGACGCGACGCGCATCGCCGCGACGTCGACGTCGCGCGGGATCAAGTCGTCCAGTGGTTTGGTCCCCGCCTCGACCGCGAGCTCGCAGCGGAACGCGTCGTTCGTCGCGGGGAAGGGGAAGCGTCTCGTCTCCGTCCCCGTCCCCGTCCCCGTCCCCGTATCCGCTTCCGTATCCGCTTCCGTCGCCGTCGCCGTCCGCCTCGCCGCCGCGGCGAGACGCAGCGCCTCCTCCGTCGCCGTCGTCGCCGGGGTCGCGTCCGTCCCCTTCTTCTTCGCCGCCCTCTTCGCTCGCTTTAAGAGCGCCTCGCAGTACGCCTCCCCCTTCCCCCCGACGCGCGTCTCGTCCAGGCGCACGAGGTGGCCGAAGTCGTTGTGCGCGATGGACGCGGCCACGAGCGACGCCGCGGCGGCGGCGGACTCGAACGCGAGCGCGCGTCGTCCTCGCGCGGCGGCGGCGAGGGAGAAGAACCCGATCCCCGCGCCGACGTCCACCAAGACCGCGTTCGAGTCGTGCGCGGCGAGCGACCCGACGAGCGCATCCGCGCTCGTGGGCTCCCGTGGGTCCCAAACCCCGGCTTGCCACCGCCCTCGCGCGGTCACCGCGGCGCCGGATTCGAGCGTCGACCGCGTCGACGTCGACGCGTCGGAGCCGAGCAGCGGCGTCAAGACGTCGAACGGCGGTTCCCACGCCGCGGAGACCGGGTACGCCGCGTTCGGGTTCACGTCCGGCATCGCGTAGTTTTCGTCCAAGCGCGAGAGCTCCGCGCGGAAGTTCACGAGGTCTTGCTTGTCTTTTTTCATCGCGTTGACGAACAGCTTGACGTGCCCGACGATGCCTTTTTTATGCGCGGTCCATCCTTGTTTCGATTTCCACGACCCGAGGTAGTGATGCGCGATGAGAACGCCCGGGTCGTCCTGCGACACGCCGTCCTCCCCGGTCGGGTGCGTCCCGAACGCGACCTTGGACAAGACGCGCACGTTCCACGGCGACTTCGAGGCGTCCGGCCGGCCTAACGCCTCGGTCTCTCGTCCGCGGTACCCCCAAGGGACCATCCCCGCGACCGACCCCGCGGCGTCCCGGTTCGCCGGGCTGTGCCGCCAAAAGCTCTTCATGACGTAATCCGTGAACGCGCCCGGGCCCGTGCGCTCGAGCGTGTCCCGGTTCGTGTTGTTCGTGAAAATCCGCTGGTAGTTTTCGTTGACGTGATCGCACGTCTCTCTCAGCGCCGGGTGCCCCGCGGCGCCGGCGAACGCCCAGTTCAGGACCTGCCGTCTCCGCACAAAGTGCCGGCTGTACGCCATCTCGTCCGTGTCGAACTCGTTCTCCCACCCGACGACGAGCGTGTCGTTCGCGTTGATGAACGAGTCGAGCGGTTTCTCGCACGACGTGTCTATGTCCGCGTAGACGCCGCCTTCGCGCAGGACGACGAGGTACCGAAAAAAATCCGACCGCTCCACGTGCTTCGGCAGCCCCGCGTACGCGTCGTAGTACTCCGGAAACTCTCGCTTCACAAACTCCGTGCAGCCTTCGTCGTCGTAGAATCGCATCTCCCACCCCGGGTTCATCGCTCTCCACGTCTCCATGAACGGCTTCATTCGCTCCGGGACGTCTTTGGACTTGTACGTCTGGTGGACGATGCGCGAGATTTTCAGCGGCGTCGGCGCGGCGCCGAAAGCCGCGTCGTCTCCGTCGGTCGACGTTCCGTATTCCGCGCCGTTCCCGCCTCTCCTCGCGTCGCGGGCCCCGCCTCTGGCGGCGTCGCCGCCGAGCCGCACGTCCCCCAAGCGCACCGTCCCGAAGTTCGCCTGCGTGGACGCGAGGTCGGACTTTTCGTACAGCTGGCGCAGGTCAAAGTTCCGGATCCCGGAGTGCCGGTTCCCCCGCCGAGTGAACCCTCGGTCGCCCGGCGCGAACGACACCTTCACGAGCAGGATGCCCACGATCATGCACGCGAACATGCGGAAGATCTGCACGTTCGACGGCAGGTGGAAGCTGCACCGGCACCCTAGGGTGTCGTCCAGGGTGGACACGACCGTGCCGCCGCCGACGCTCGAGAAGGCGATGGTCGGCTGCCGCGACCGCGCCTTCGGGCTCTTGCTCCGCGCGCGCCCGCCGTCCGGGGCGCGGTAGTACCCCTCCTCGACCGAGCGCAGCGGGTCCGCGGTCGCGGTCTTCTTCTTGAAGAAGCTGCGGCGGCCGTCGACGTACCCGCCGTCGCCGCTCGAGTCGCTCGCGTCGTCCGCGCCTCGCAGACCGCTCGTCGTTCGGCGCAAGTTCGGATTCGGCGACGCGCTCGCGCTCGGTATCTCGATGTCCCTGCGCGCGAGCGGAAGAGCGCGAGGGCCGGCGGTGGATCGCTGGGACGTCAGCGATGCGGCGCGGAGGGAGCGACGAGCGCGGGGAGCGCGGTGGCGGACGCGGCGGAGCGAGCGATGTGTGTATCTCGAAAGATGGGCGACGCGGAACGTTCGAACCGCGCGAGAAGACGGCGCGGCGCCGCGGCGAGATCTGCGGCGGTCGACGCGCGCGCACCTCGACGTATCGCCGCCGCCGTCGGTCCTATGATGCGCCCTGGCGTCCATATCGACGCGCGCGCGCGCTCGCCGCGCGCGTCGAGAGCCCGCGGCGGCGACCTGCCCGCGCCGACGCCGCGCGCGATGCTGATGAACGTCTGGAACAGCTCGGTCCAGTCGTTGGGTCGACGCCGCATCGCGAGCTCGATCGATCTCGTGACGAAGATCGCCGCAGCGATGACAACTTTTTCTAGACTCTAGCTACACGTGTAGCCTTCGCGGAGAAGGTACCGTGTCCGCGCGCGCGTCTCGTCGTCGCCGTCCTCAACAACCCGTCGTCGCCCGCGCCTCCCCCCGCTCCCGTCGTACGTCTCTCGCGCGGCGACCTCGACTCCCGCGCGCGCGGTCGTCGGCGGTCGTCAGTAGTACGCGTCGAGTATCTTCTCGGGCACGCGCCTCAGGAGCTCGCGCGGGAAAATCCGCAACGTCGTCCACGCGACGTCCAACGACTCGCGTATCGTCCGTCCGACGTTCCCTTGGTCGATGAACTCGCGCTCGAACGCGTCCAAGAATTCAAGATACAGCGCGTCCTCGTCGCTGAGCGCTTCCTCGCCGACGACGGCCTTCATGGCGAGCGTGTCTTTCGCGATCGCGTAGTTGGCGTACAGTTGATTCGACACATCGCCGTGGTCCTCGCGCGTCATCCCTTCGCCGATCGCGCTCTTCATCAGTCGCGATAACGACGGTAAGACGTTTATCGGCGGGTATATTTGACGGCTGTGCAGCTGCCTGTCGACGTATATCTGCCCTTCCGTGATGTACCCGGTGAGGTCCGGAATCAGGTGCGTGATGTCGTCGTTCGGCATCGTCAGTATGGGCAGCTGCGTGATGCTTCCTCCGCGGCCTTTGATGCACCCGGAGCGCTCGTAAATCGTCGCGAGGTCCGTGTACATGTACCCCGGGTACCCACGTCGTCCTGGGACTTCCTCTCGCGCGGCGGATACCTCCCTGAGCGCGTCCGCGTATGATGACATGTCCGTGAGTATCACCAAGACGTGTTTCCCTTTCTCGTACGCGAGAAATTCCGCCGTCGCGAGCGCGATTCTCGGGGTGATGATGCGTTCGATCGTCGGGTCGTTCGCGAGGTTTAGGAAAAGGACCACCTTCTCCATCGCGCCCGTGCTCTCGAAGTCCTTGCGAAAGAAGTTCGCGGTCTCGGTGTTGACCCCCATCGCGGCGAAGACGATGCAAAACTCGTCCTGGCGCGCGTCCGCGCCGGCGTCCGCGTCGAGGAGGTGCGTCTCGTTCGCCGTCGCCGTCGCCGTCGCCGTCGCCGTCGCGTGCTTCTCCCCGCCTCCTCCTCCTCCTCCTCCTCCTCCTCCTCCTCCTCCCTCCTCTCTCCGGAGCGGTCGCTTCACGAGCCCGGCCTGCCGGCAGATCTGCGCCGCGATCTCATTGTGCGGCAGCCCCGCGGCGGAGAACAGCGGGATCTTCTGCCCTCGCGCGACGCTGTTCATGACGTCGATCGCGCTGATCCCGGTCTGAATCATCCGCTCCGGGTGCGCGCGCTCGGACGGATTGATCGACGACCCCTGCACGTCCACGAGCTTCTCCGGCATCACCCTCGGACCGCCGTCGATGAGGTCGCCGCTGCCGTTGAATATCCGCCCGAGGACGTCCTCCGCGACCGGGGCCTTCAACACCTCGCCCGTGAACGCGAGCGTCGCGTTTCGCGCGTCCACCCCCGAGGTGCCCTCGAAGACTTGCACGACGACGCGCTCGCCGTCCACCTCGAGCACCTGCCCGCGTCGCGCGGTGCCGTCCCCGAGCTCGACGCGCACGATCTCCGCGTACCGCGCGGACTTGACCTTGTCTAACACGACGAGCGGGCCGCTGACGCCGGTCACGGTGCGATACTCTGCGCGACGCGCGAGGCGAGGGAGCGAGGAGGAGGAGGACGCGCCGTTCGTTATTTACGAGAGTAGAGAAGCGACAGGGCGTTCGCGCGATCGCGTCGAGGCGGGCGGGACGCGCGCGCACCGAGACGCGGCTCCTGCGCGAGCGCCTTCGTCGCCGCGACCGCTTGCAGCTGCGTCCTCGCGAAGTCGGTCTCGAGACCCATCGTTCCTCTCGCGCCGCGCGAACGCCGTCCTCCGCCGCCGCGCGCGCGCCGCGAGATGCGCGTCAGATCTCTCGGAAGAGACGCGAAGCGTCGCGCACCTGTCGCCGAACGGCGCGACTGGACGAACTCTACGAGTTTTTGAACGCGACGCGAGATCGCGCCCGCTCCCTCGGCCGCGCGCACAACCCCCGGCGCGATGACCGCCGCGACCGATGACCCCCCGCGACCGAGGGCGCTGTCCGGGAAAGAGCGCTACATCAAGGGCGCGGTCCTCGGCGAGGGCACGTTCGGGGTCGTGACCAAGGCGGAGGACACGCTGACGCGCCGGCACGTCGCGATCAAAAAGATCCGCCTGGGGAAATACAAGGAGGGCGTCAACTTCACCGCGATTCGCGAGATCAAGCTGCTCATGGAGCTGCGACACCCGCACGTCATCGAGCTCGTGGACGTGTTCCCGCACAAGCGCAACTTAAACCTCGTGTTCGAGATGTGCGAGAGCGACCTCGAGGCGGTCGTGAAGGACAAGTTCCTGCCCTTGGGCACCCCGGAGGTGAAGTCGTATGTGAAGATGACGCTCGAGGCGGTGGCGTACTGCCACGCCTCGTGGGTCCTTCATCGCGACTTGAAGCCGAACAACCTTCTGATCGCGCCGAACGGCGCGCTCAAGCTCGCGGATTTCGGTCTCGCGCGCGTGTTCGGGTCGCCGAACCGACGCTTCACCCATCAGGTGTTCGCGCGGTGGTACCGAGCGCCCGAGCTGCTGTTGGGGTCGAAGGCGTACGGTCCCGGGGTCGACATGTGGGCGATCGGATGCGTGTTCGCGGAGCTCATGCTGCGCAAGCCATACTTCCCCGGGAGCTCGGACATCGACCAGCTCGGGAGGATATACGCCGGTCTCGGGACGCCGACGGAGGAGAATTGGCCGGGGCATAAGAACATGCCGGATTACGTGGAATTTTCGCACGGCGTCGCGCCGCCGCTCAGACAGCTGTTCACGACCGCGCCGCCGGAGGCCTTAGACCTCCTGCAGAAACTCCTCGCGTTCGACCCGAACAAGCGACTGAGCGCCGCGGACGCGCTGAAGCACGCGTACTTCAGCTCGCGGCCGTTCGCGACGCCCTTCCCGGACCTCCCGCGTCCGACGCAAAAGTTTGGCGACGACGGCGGCGGCGGCGGCGACGACGCCGGGCGAGGAACCTCCGGTCTGATGCCGCCGCCGGACAGCGTGCACGGCGGCGATGCGAAGCGCGCGAGTACCGCGCCGCGCGCCGGGGACGCCGCGCACTTCGCGGCGGCGGACCGAGACGAATCCCCCGCGACGGAGCCGCACCGCGACCGCGACCGCGACCGCAACCGCGGCGAGTTCGACGGCGGCCGACGGATCGGCGGCGGCGATCGCGACACGGACGAGCGCGCGGACGGCGGCGCGCCGATGAGCACGAGCGGCGGCGGACACGGCACGGACGCGATGGGGCAGCTCGGGTTGGATTCCTGCGATAGGCCCGCGCTGAGCACCGTGGACCGCGCCTATCTCAGGAAGCGGAAGCACGACCTGGACGTCGCGTTTTTAGCGGCTTCGCAGGAGGGAAGCGAGGAGCAGGGTGGAGGGTGAATTAGATCGCGACGCGAGCCGAGGGTGGCGTCGTCGTGTCGTGTGCAACGTAGAGCTAGTCGTAGTGGTTGTGATGACGGTGTGTCACGTCGTCATCGCGCGCGCCTTCGCTCGGAGCGGCCGGGCGTGTTCGTCTGAGTCCTCGGCGAGAGTCTTCTGCGCGTCTGACGAGCGGTTCGCGGCGTCCGTTGTCCGCCGCCTTCGCGAGGCCGAGGCCGCTCGAAGGTAGAATCTTGCTCAAACGCGTCACATGTCAGTATCCGATGAGTTCGAGATAGAAGCGGAGAGCTATCCATTCGAGGGGCCAAGACGCTTCCTGTCGCGACCCACGACCTTGCTCACGGCGGAGAGGCTGCGGCGGTCTCTGAGGTAGTCCACGTGCGTGAACACGAGACACGCCAGGTCCTCGGTGATGTCGTCTAAGGGTCCGCGCGGCGGGGTTGGATCTGCACCGTTCTTACGACGACGACGGCGGCGGTGCGTTCGCTGATTCGGCATGATCGCGCGCGACGGACGCCCACGGGCGCGCGGGAGAGTAACCCTAAAACCCGGCCCCTTTTTTTCCAACAAAATTCCTGCAAAATTCGCGCGGGTAAGCGAGCGAAGTTTCCTGCGACCGCGTCATCGCCGCAGAGCGCGACGCACCGATCAGGGCGCTCGATCGGATCGCGCGCGTCGAGGCGATTTCACCGCGAGCGACACGATGCCGACGGACGCGGACTCCTACGGGTGCGCATCCTCCCCCCGCGGCTTCGTCGCCCGCGCGAACCCGCGGACGATCCTTCCACGATTCATCATCCATCCCTCGCCTTTTCGTTCAAACGCGATCCTGAATCTCGCGCCACCCCCGTCGGAACCCCCCTCCCCCCGCGCGCAGGCGATGGAAGAACCTCGTCCCGTTCCTGTACGACTGGTTCGCGCACCACAGGCTCGTGTGGCCGTCCCTCTCCGTGCGATGGGGCGCGGTCCTGGAGACGAACGAGTACAAGCACAAGCAGCGCCTGTACCTGAGCGAGCAAACGGACGGGTCGCCGTTTTTCCCAAACACCCTCGTCGTCGCCAACGCGGAGGTCATCAAACGCCGCGTCGCCGCCGCGGAGCACATGGTGTTCGAAGAGGAGACGCGCAGCGCGTTCGTGAAGGGCTTCAAGACGATTATCCACCCGGGGGAGGTGAACAAGATGCGCGAGTTCCAGGCGTCGCCGAACTTGTTGGTCACGCACACGGACGCGCCGGAACTTCTCGTGTGGAACACGGAGACGCAGCCGCACAGAAAGACGGGCCCGGCCGCGCAGAGGGACGCGCCGAACGGCGGCAGAGGCGAGGATGGGGAGCTCTGCCCGATCGCGGGCGCGCTGAAGCCGTCGAGACCGGATCTCGTCTTGAGAGGGCACGGCGACGACGCCGAGTTCGCGCTCGACGTGCACCGCGAGGGTTTCAAAGTCGCGTCCGGCGGGAAGGATCGTAACGTCCTTCTGTGGGACGTTTCCGATTACGATCAAGGATCGCTGTGCACGAACGGGAAGGAAGGGAGCGGCGCGACCGGGAACGGTGAGGGCGTCGGCGCGAAGAGCGGCGATTTCGACGGCGCCCCGAGCCTCGCGCCGAAGACGACGTTCGAAGGCCACTCGGACACCGTGGAGGACGTGTCGTTCCACCCCTCCGGCGCGAGCGAGCTGTGCAGCGTCGGGGACGACAACGCGCTGATCTTTTGGGACGCGCGCGCGGGGACGAAACCCGCGCACAAGGTGACGGACGCGCACGGGGAGGACGTGCACACCGTGGACTGGTCTCTGCTGGACGAAAATGTAATCCTCACGGGCTCCGCGGACGCGACCGTCAAACTTTGGTTGGGTTTATCTTTGCAACTCCCTCTCTCTTACTCATTGCAAAACGCGTCTCTTTCCGTCGCGTCATGCCTTTACTATCTTCCCAAGCGAGTGCTGACTTTGACTTCTTTTTTGCTGGTGTCTCTACTTCATGGGACCGACGCAAGCTCGGCGCGCTCGGCGCGGAGTGCTGCGTGCACACGTTCGCGATGCACAAAGACGCGGTAACGTGCGTGCAGTGGTGCCCGGACCAGAAAGGGATGTTCGGCTCGTCCGCGGACGACGGGTACCTCAACGTCTGGGACGTGAACAAGATTGGCGCGGCGCAGAGCGCGGAGAAGAAGAAAACCGCGGCGCCGGAGATTGTCTTCCAACACGCCGGGCACAAAACGTCCGTCACGGACTTCCACTGGAACCCGTTCGATCCGATGACGATCGCGAGCGTGAGCTCCGGGGACGGCGGGAACACGCTGCAGATGTGGAGGATGAACGACTTGATCTACCGCCCCGAGGAAGAGGCGCTCGCGGAGCTGGAGAAGCACAAGGCGACCATCTGCGGCGTGCGCGCGGCGGCGGCGGGCGGCGGCGGTGAGGGGGGGGGCGACGCGCAGGAGAAGGAGAGCGCGGAACCGACCGGGGACGGCGCGGCCGCCCCCGAAGGCGCGGGAGCGATGGAGACGGACTGATTTGTGATGCCTAATGATACCTTAGATTAACCCTAATACGCCACTGGCGCGACCTCGGGGGAGTGCTCCAACGCGCCCAACGCGCGTTTGACGAGGGACCCGACGTTCCGCGAGAACTCCACGAAATCGATCATGCCGTCGCCGTTGCTATCCAACACCTCTATCAACCGCTCGATCGCCTTCTCGGAGATCAGCTTCCCGCCCCCGTGCGCGCAAGCGGCGGCGTCGGCGACGCGAACGCTCTCCGCGAACGCCGACGACGATATCGACCCGGTGCCGTCGACGTCGAAGTGCGTCCGCCAGACGTGAAACAGTTCCGCGCGGTGCGTGAAGAACAGTCGCGCGATCGCGTCCGCGAGCAGCCGCACGACGTCCTGCGGGTCGTTCGACGTCGGGGTGATCGGGACTTCCTCGCCCCCCGACGTGTCCCACTGAAGACCGACGCGCGCGCGGCGTCTTCCTTCGCGCGCGGGCTCGATCGACGCCGCGAGCGACTTGACAAACTCGCCGCGATCGACTTCGCCGCTGCCGTCGACGTCGAACGACGTCAACACCGCGTCGAGCTGCGCGTCGGAGAAAACCGCGAGCGAGGGCAACCGCGCGCGGACGCTCGCGCGGAACTCCTCCGGGGATAACTCCCCGTCGTGGTTCACGTCCATGGATTCGAACGCCGCGGCGAGGTCGCCGCCGCCTTGCATGATCGCCCCGACGAGTTCCGACGCGACGTCCGACTGCCACTCTTTGCACCCGCCCTTCATGTGCACGTGGAACCGCGAGAGCCACTTGCGGTACAACACGCCCCCGCGCTCCGGGTCGATCTCGTCCGGAGTGGTCAGGTCGTACAGAAGGTTGAGCCACTTCATTCGGACTTGCAGAACCTCGGACAGGCCCGTCGCCCACCACTCGAACGTCGCGAAGCCGTCGTCGGCGTCGTCCCCGAGCGCGTAGTACCGCAGCAACGCGGTCTTGTTCTCGTAGATGTACTCCGACGCCTGCGCCACCGCGGCCGCGAGCTTCGCGGCTTTGCCCTCCCGCCTCGTCTGCACCGTCTGCGTCAGCGCGTTGTGCTTTATCTTTCGATGGTCCCACTTGACGTGTTTCGTCGGCCTCTCCGCCTTCTCTTTGAAAATCACAACCGCGCCCTTGTTCCCGCCCGCGCCGCAGTAATTCGACGCGCTGAACACCGTGTACACTCTGCCTCCGTGCGTCACCTCGCACCCCTCGTCGACGCACTGATGCGATCGCACGAGCGTCGTGAGCTTCTCGCGGTCCAAAAACGCGTTCGTCGCGTCGCGACCCCACAACACTCCGGCGCCGCGCGCGCTCGGTTCGAACCCCCGAAACCCCGGGCTCGGATGCGGGTCGCTCCACATCAAGTCCTTCATCCACTTCTCGTCGCCCATGTTGTGGTCCGCGGCGAGGACGTCCGGCCCGCGCGCGAGTTCTCGAATGTCCCGCAACCGCACGGTGGGGTCCCCGGGTAGACCGCCGTGTAACACGAGCGTCTTACCGTTGATCACGCACGCCCACGGGAGCCACGTGAAGACGGCGTGAAACGTCTGGAACACGGAGTGGTCGTACTTTCCGAGGCACTCCTCCTCGAACCCGCCGTAGATGTTTATGTGCGGCTCCTCGTGGTTCCCTCGGTTCACGTACACGCTGTTTGGGCGCGCGAGCTTCAGGGCGAAGATCAGCAGGCACACCTCGCATGCGTGGTCGCCGCGATCGACGAGGTCGCCGTTGAAGACGTAAATCGTTTTCTCGCTCGGCAACCCCTGCGACGCAAACACGTGCAGCAGGTCGTGTATCTGCCCGTGCAAGTCGCCCACGACGACGACTTTCCCTCCCGCGGGTACCGCGACGTCGATAACGGACGGCTCGGACGCGAAGAGCACGGCGACAGCCTGGAGAATCGCGAGCGCGTCCGTCATCGAGACGCGCTCGTCCTCGCCCAGGCCGCGGAGAAGGTTCTCGATCGACCCCGACGTGAGCGTCGGGAGGGCGGCGATCTCCGACGGGTCCTTGGCGCTTCGCGCGCGCAGACCGATGTCCGCGCTGATGTCCTTGAGCTTGATCCGCGTCGTCCGCGCGAGCGATCCGAGCGCTTGGTTCACGGTCGCCATGACGCCGCGTCGTCGCTCGTTGATTCGGTTCTCCTCGCGGTCCTCGAGCGCGTTGAGGATCGCGCTGAGTTCCTCGTTGTCCTTCGCGATCCGTCGCTGGACTCGACGGTACGCTCTCTGGATGAGGATCGCGGCTTCGTCTGCGTTGGAGAGCGAGCCGGGGGTCTCCATGGTGGATGGAACCGCCGCGGCCGCGACGCGGGTCGCGTTCGTCCGTGTGTCGTTCGGACAGGAAGTTTCTCGGCTTCCGTCTCGGACTTTTTCGTGTGCAAATTTTTTTTTCGTGTGAGCTTGCTTTTCGTGGGCCCGTCTGCAACAGGCTAACTATTTTCCCATACGGAATCTCTCGCGAGACGCGACGCGCACATCCGGAATTTGTGGCGAGGCCGCCTCCTACTTTCCGCCTGCTGCGCTTTTTCCCGAGCCGTCGGGGCTGTGATTTTGATCGACGTCGACGCTTCGGGGTCACACCCACCCGCACGCCGCGCAGCCGTCCGCTCCGCGACGTCAACGAATGGCGAACATGGCCACAGCAGGCGCGGTCGCCGCCGCGACGCCCGTCCGCGTTCGCGCCAACACCCGGTTCCCAACCCGCGTCGTCGGGAGGGTCGTCGGTAATCGTGGTCGCGTCTCCCTCGTCGCGCGCGCCGCCAAGTCCGCGCCGAAAGCTCCGGCGTCGCCGTCGCCGCCGAACGAGATCCCGCCGCCGCCGCCGGGATACTACCCGCCCCAGGGTACGTCCGAGTCGCGATCGACCGCGCGCGCGCGCGTCTCGTCGCTCGAACGACGCGCGTTTCCCCGAGCGCGTCGCTCGGCGCGCGATCCGCCGATCCAAAAGATTTATCCACTTTCGCGCTCTTCGCTCGCGACTGATGAGACCCCTCTCTCCTCTCTCGACAGGCCCCCCTCTCCCGCTGCCGCCCACCCCCGGGGTGAACGTGGGCGAAGCCGGCGCCCCCGGCGCGCCCCCCGCGTACGGGACGCAACAGGGCTACCCCCCCCAGGGGTATTACTACCCCCCGCCGCCGCCGCAAAAGAGCGGGTCGAACGGGTTCGTGATGATCGGCATCGGCGCCGCCATCGCGATCGGCGTCATGAAGGTCATGGAGTTCGCCGGTGGCAAGAAGGGCGACATGCAGAGCATGATGATGCAGCAGATGATGAAGCAGGCGATGAAGGGCGCGGGCGGCGCGCCGGGCGGCATGCCCGGCATGCCGCCGATGGGCGGCGCCCCGGGGGCGTCGCCGTTCCCGCCGTTCCCGACGCCGACGCCGACGCCGACGCCCGCGGCGGCGGCGGCGGCGGCGCCCGCGGTGGACACGACCGCGACGGCGGTTCCGAAGCCCGCGGCAGCTCCGGCCGCGCCGGCCGCGGCGGCGACGCCGCCCCCCGCTGCGCCGGCGACGCCGCCGCCGTCCACCGCCGCGCCCGGCAGCGGATCGTTCTTCCAAGACGCCGCGGACGCGATGCCGGAGCCGAACCCGGCGCCGAACCCGTTCTCGACCCCGCCGCCGAGCGAGGGCGGGGTCGACGACGAGGCTGATCTTGAGTACATGCAGAACATGCTGCGCAACCCGGAGATGCAGAAGATGATGTACCCGTACCTCCCCGAGATGATGCGTAACCCGGAGACGTTCGAGATGCTCCTCACGAACCCGATGTACAAGGACCAGCTCAAGGGGATCATGAAGCAGATGAAGGAAGGCGGCGGCAACATGGAAGGGATGCCGGACGTGAACTCCCCGGAGGTGCAAGAGCAATTCGCGCAGATGGGGATGACGCCGCAAGACGCGATCGAGAAGCTCATGGCGGATCCGGAGCTCGCGATGGCGTTCCAGAACCCGAAGATTCAACAGGCGGTGATGGACTGCTCGTCGAACCCGAACAACATCATGAAGTACCAGAACGACCCGGAGATCATGAACGTCTTCATGAAGCTCGCGACGATGTTCCCGGGCGCCGCGGGCGCGGGCGCGGGGATGAACCCGATGGCGGGCGCGGGGATGCCGGGGGCGCCGCCGATGGACGCGACGGCGGCGCCGGTCGTCGAGCCTATCGTCGAAGCCGCGCCCGCGGCGCCGGTCGCGGAGGCGGCACCCGCAGCGGAGGCGGCGCCGGTCGCGGAGGCGGCGCCGGTCGCGGAGGCGGCGCCCGCGGCGGAGGAGAAGAAGGACTAGAAGCGCGAACGCCGACGCTGAATTTTTAATACCGCACGCGCGCGAAGAGCCACCATAATACGATACCCCCGCGTCCTCCTCCTCCTCCTCCTCCTCACTTCCCGTAGTTATCGCACGCCGGCGACGCGGCGAACGTCTTCATCTCCTCCATGTCCACCGCGCTCGATATCAACCTCCTGCACCGCTCCCCGGACGCCTTCTTCATGACGTCCGCCGGCGCCGCCTCGATGATGCGATCGCACGCCTCCACCGCCGCCGCGAACGACGCCTGCGGGACTTCCTCCTCGCCGAACGGCGTCCCGTCCGCGACGTACTTCGCGAGGACGGTCAAGTTCTTCGCGCCCAGCAGCACGTCCTCCATCGCGCCCAGTCCGTTCGCGGGCACCGCGCCGTCGCCGTCGCCGTCGACGCCGACGCCGACGTCGACGACTTCCCCGAACGACGTCGCGATCGTCACGGGAAGCACCGCGGTCATCGTCTTCGCCTTGTCCGCGTACCTCGGGAGGAGGTTCATCACGCGCGACCTGCGGCCGCCCTCGGGGAGGCCCTGGAGCTCCATCGCGGAGACGATCTGGGAGGAGGGATGAGGGGGGGGGAGCGCGGAGGGCGGTGGACGGGCGGAGGTGGTCGGGACGGGACGTCAGCGCGCGGCGGGACGGACGCGCCGCGGACGAACCGCCGCCGCGGGGCGACGGACGGATCGATCGACGCGACGGTTCGGTATTCGGAACGATCGAACTAGCGGAGAGCGACGCGCGACGCGTCATCGCGCGCACCGCGTCTCTGCCGTCCATGAGCCCGATGTACGCGTTCACCGGGGTGACCGTCGTCGCGTTCACCTCGACCGCGCGCGCGGAAGAGGACGACAGGAGCGGGATCGTCGCGACCGTGGACAGGAGCAGCGCGCGTCGCGACGGCGTCGACGACGACGACGACGACGGCGACGATGACGTGTTCTCCGCCGTCGCGTCGCGACGCGGCGCCGCGCGCGCGTTCGCGGCGGCGCGACGCGTCCGCGCGTCGCGCGCGCGTCTCGCGGGCGCGGGCGCGCGGGGCGCCGCGCGAAGGCTCGTCGTGGAGGCCATCGTGCCGAGCTCTCGAGGGTGTGGCGCCGTCTTCGAGCGCGCCCGTCGTTTTATCCCGAGTTCCTGCTGCTAGCGCTGTGTCGCCGTCGTCGGAAGGGGACTTTCGAGAAAGGAATGGGGCGCATTGTTACCGCCGCGCCCGCACGCCGACGACGCCGCGGGTTCGTCCACCACGCCCCGCGATGACTGAGCTGAAGATGTCGTGGGTCGGAAGATGCGGCGGCTGCGGCAAGGAGCTGCGCATGAAGGACGACCCCCCGCCGGCGGCGTGCGCGAGGTGCAAATCGCGCTGGTACTGCGGAAAAGATTGCCAGGTGAAAGATTGGCAGCGCGCGACGAACGGGCACAAGGAGATGTGCGCCGTGCTCGCCGCGCTGACGGCGAAGAACGACGACAAGGCGATGCATCGGTCGATGAAGACGGTGGACTCCACGAGCGAGGACCTGTTGAGTCGATGCAACGAGATACTCGAGAAGCAGACCAAGCCGGGGATGCAACTCCGCGAGATGATCGAAGACGTGGTCCGGAAGCAAAAGAGCTCGAAGAAGTCGCGGCACCTCATAATGATGGGCGCGAGGACGATCGAGGACAACCAGTGCACGCTCATGGCGCTGGACGAGAAACAGGTGAAGGAAATGTTGAAGGACGACCCGGACTTCGCCAGGCACGCGAACTTGGTGTCGTCGTACGACCCGTCCACCGAGCTCGTGATCGCGTTCGACGTCGAGTCGCCGCCGAATTACATCGTATTCCGAGCCGCGATGAAGGACCTGCCGCACGGGGGATATTAACCTTAACGTATACTACTGTAACCTAACGTACTGTACATGTAGTAGCCCTAGCTCGCGCGTTGCGCGGGCGTCTATCATCGCGGCGTCTCCTTCTTCCCCTTCGACGCCTTCGCCGCGTCCGCGGCGGCCCACATGTACATGCTCGCCAACGTCTTATACGGCGCCCACGAAGCCGCGATCTCGCGCATCTTCTCCTCCTTCGGCGGGTCTCTCAGTCCGTACGCGATCATCATCCCCTGCCTCACGCCGAAGTCCTTCACCGGAAGGACGTCCGGGCGATTTAAATAAAACATCTGGAACATGTGCACGCTCCACTCGCCGATGCCTTTCAGCTCCAGGAGCGTCGCGGTCGTCTTCTCGTCGCTCATCGCCTCGAGCGCGTCATCCGTCAACGCCGGGCGGCGACCGTCGTCGTCGTCGTCGTCGTCGCCGCTCGAGAACCGCGCCGCTAACCCGCGCAGGTACTCCAGCTTCCTCGCGGATAACCCGCACGCGCGCAGGTCCTCGTCTTTCGCGCGCGCGAACGCCTCCGGGGTCATCGCCGTCTCGTCGTCCTCCGCGCCGACGGCGCTCCGCACGCGGCCGAAGATGGTCGCCGCCGCGGCGCCGTTGAGCTGCTGAAAGACGATCGCCCTCGCGAGCGACCGGAACGCGCGGTTCGGCTCCGTCGCGCGCGCGCGCGCTTCCTGGCACGACGCGATCCTGGGGAGGACGCCGTGCGTTCGAATCAGCGCCGCCATCGTCGCGTCCGCGGCGGAGACGGACGCCAGCGCGCGCGCGACGTCGACGTCTCCGAAACGGAGTCCGTCGTCGTCCTCGGGCGTTCGCGGGACCGCGTCCTCGACGGGCGGGACGGCGCGCGCGCGCTTCGCCGGCTTCGCGGGTTTGATCGGCGACGGCGTCTTCGGAGGCTTCGCCGGGGATTGCGGCGAGGCGGTCTTCGTCGCCGACGCTCTCGCTCTCGCGCGTCGCGACGGCGGATCTTCGGTCGCGCGTCGTTTCGGAGGCATCGTGACGGAAGCGACGGCGCGCACCGCGCGCGCGCGCGAGGCGAAGGGCTCGGGCGCGCGCGAGCGACCGCGCGCGAGCGCACGAGCGAGCGCGGAGGAGAAGAACGTCGACGCCGAGCGCATGCGACGACCCCGCGCGCGGGGCTAGTGTTCGCGAGGACTCCGAAGATCGATCCGAAGTTCAATTCAGGTTTCGTTCGTTGGGCGATGCAAAATCGTCGCGTTGTTCGAGGCGTCTTCTTTCGTTACATCGACGCCGCGCTCGCTATAAGATACCCGCATCTCCGCCCACCCCCAACACGTCGCACCGTCCACGCGGCGACCTCTACCGCTCCACCTAGTCCTAGGCAGGACTAGGTCCGAGATAAGGTTCCTTCATCGTTGCGACGCAAAATATTTCGTTGTGGTCGATGCGCAGCCCGACGACTTTCACGCGCACCTCGATATCCTTCACGATCCTGTGCGAAATGTCCGTCTTGTCGACGTACGCGTTCTCGTCCACGCTCTCGAACACCATCTCTTCCGGCACGAGCTGGTTCGAGACGAACAATTTCAGCGGGCCGGCCTCGGCGAAGAACCCGAACTTGGTCACCTGCACGACGACGCAGTCCAAGACTTCGTTTTTGAACGGGCGAAACGCGATGGCGCTGTACTTGACGTGGAACTTCGCGCGCGCGGTGCCGTCGTCCGTGATCATCCCCTCGCTGATGTGCACGATATTCGTCACCATGACGATGTACCCGTGTCTCCCCGTGCAGCTTCCTTCGACCTGTGAGAGAGGGAGGGAGGGAGGCGCGTTCGATCGATCGTGAGAAGGGACGGATTGGAATTTAGGGTTCGACGGGAGGCGCGATCGAGCGGCGTCGCGCGACTCGAAGGCGGCGTCGAGGGTCCGCGAGACGCGCACCTCTTGCCGGACCCGCGACTCGATCATCTCCCGCATCCGCTTCCCGAAGTACATCGGCTCTAGGACTATGTTCTTCTCCTGCTCGATGTGAAAAAACATCGCGCCCTCTCTCCGCGATCGCCGACGCGCGTCGCCCCGCCCGCGAGATCTACCGCCGCGTCGCTCCGCGCGCGCTCGCGGTCGTCGTGCTCCTCCTCCCGCGCGGACCTTCCGAGCGCGTGCGCGAAGGACTCGGCGTCGCCGGCGATCTGCCCGACGAGGCGCGCGGGGGTGTGTCGTGTCCTCCGCGCGCGGCGTCGCGTTCCGTCTACCTGACGCGCCCATACCCAGATCAACTCAGGGCCATTCCAGTTTATCGGTCGGTCAGTTGAATGGGACCGCGATCAAATGTTGAAACCGGGCGGTGGGTGAAAAACGCGCGTGTAGAAAGCAACTTCTCGGTCTTCGCCGCCGCGTGCTGACTCGTCGGGTTGCCGATCGATGCGTTTGAACGCGGTCGCCGCGGAGCTCGGGCGCAGTGCGAGCGGCGTCGCACGCCCTCGTCCGGACGCGCGCGATGGCGCAGCCGGCGATGTACGAGCAGATGGTCTTCCCGACGCGGTTCGTCTGGGCGTACGGCGGCAAGCAGGCGCGTCGCCCCGCGCGCGCCTCGGTCTCCCTCGCCCGCGTTGTTATGCCTCTTTTCTCGCTCTCGGGGCAATTCTCGCGTTCGCTCGCCTCCCCCCCTCGCGCGCGCTCCCTCCATCGATCATCCCCTGACGCCTCCGTCCCCGCGGCCTTTGAATCCCCCCGCAGGTGCACCTGTGCGGCTCGTTCACGAACTGGCTCGAGACCGTCCCGATGGCGATCGAGCCGAATCCCACCGGCGGCGAGGTTTTCGCCGTCGTGTGTAACCTACCGCCCGGGTACCACCAGTACAAGTTCATCGTCGACGGCGAGTGGCGTCACGACGAGAACCAGGCGTTCATTCAAGATCCTCTCGGGAACGTGAACAACTGGCTGTTCGTGAAGAAGCCCGGCGCGGCGAACGAGCCGAGCCCGGGACAGGGGATACCCATCCCGCAGCCGCGGGAGGGCGGCGCGGGGGGCGGCATGGACTGGATCGGCAGCTCCATGGGCGGACTGCAGATCAAGCGAAACAGCGAGGGCGTCATCAAGCAGCCGGGTCCCGCGTCCTCGTTGGCGCCGAGCGCGATGGGAATCAAAGGCATCGCGGGGGTTTCGGACGGCGACCAGGACACCTCGAGGGCGCGCGTGTTGGAGTTTCTGCAGCGGCACACCGCGTACGAGCTCATCCCGGAGAGCAACAAAGTCGTCGTGTTGGACACGAAGCTCCCGGTCCGCCAGGCGTTCCACGCGTGCCACGAGCAAGGGATCATGGCCGCACCGCTGTGGGACGAGCGCGCGCAGGAGTTTGTGGGGATGTTGTCCGCGGGGGATTTCATGGACATCGTGCGCGTCATCGGGCCGTCGTTGGCGTCGAGCGCGATGAGCGAGGCGCAGTTGGATCAGCACACGATCGCGATGGTGCGAGAAGAGAAAGCCGCGGAGACGGGGACCTCGCCCGCGCCGCTCGTGAGCGTCCGGCCGGAGGACTCGCTGCACTTAGTCACGCTGACGCTCATGCAAGGCCGGCTCGCGATGGCGCCGGTGCTGAGCTACGGGAGCCACCCGCCGAGAGGGCAGACGCCGTCGAACTCGCCGCTCACGTCCGCGAGCGGCCTCGCCGCCGCGGGCGGGGGCGGGGGCGGGGGCGGGGGGGACGGAACCACCCCAGGGAGCGCGGGCTGCGCGGGGGGGCACGACGCGAGCGGTGGCGGCGCGGGCGTCGGAGGCGGCGTCGGCGCGTTCGCCGGGCACAGACAGAGCACGGCGCAGCTTCTGCACCTCACGAACCTCGCGGAGGTGTTCGCGTGTTTGGTCCGGCACTTCCGCGGCGTCCCGAGCGCGCTGCCGCTGTTCTCGCAGCCGATCGGGGCGCTGCCGATCGGGACGTGGACCGCCGCGCTCGGTGGATTCCGAGGGTCGCAGCGGCAGCCGGGCGGGGGGGGGAACCCGGCCGCCGGGACGGACGGGATTGGCGCGGGGGGGCAAGACGCGTCCGCGTCGCAGTCGACGCCGATTCCCGGGCTTCTCCCGGTGAAGGCTATCCTTCCGTCGTCCACGGTCGAGGACGCGTTTAAGATGATGCCAGGGTGCGGCGCGCTGCCGGTCGTGGACGAGGCTGGGCGGTTAGTCGACGTCTACGCGCGCGCGGACGTCATCCTCCTCGCGGCGGAGAACACGTACAGACGCGTGAGCTTGAGCGAGTTTACCGTCGCGCAGGCGTTGCAAGTCGGGAGGGCGCCGACGGCGGAGCAGCGACGCGCGGCGGCGGAGTACGCCGCGCACGCGGCCGCGGCGGCGGCGGCGGTGGGAGCGCAACCCGCGGGTTTAACGCCGCCGCAGCGGGCGTTACCGACCCCACGGGCGCACACGTGCACGCGAGGGGACACGTTGCGCGCGGTGGTGGAGGCGTTGAGTTTGCCCGGCGTTCGACGGCTCGTCGTCGTGGACGCCAACTCGCACGCGGTCGAGGGCGTCGTGTCCTTGTCCGACGTCGCCGCGTTCTTGTTGCAGACGTAGGTAGAGCTCGAGAGCGAGGCGGGCGGCTTAGATTTTAACCGATAAAGTGCGATCGTCGACGCCTTCGCGCGCGCGACGACGACTGAAAAAACCAAACGCGCAGCACGGCTCGCCTCGTCGTTTGGCTGAATCCAACCCGGCCACGGCCCACGAAATGACCCGCGGCGCGGCTCCCAAAATCGAGCCGCGGGCGCGTCCGCGACGATCGTCGCGGTCACAACGCGCGCGCACCGCTCGGTGTGGCATCGCGCGTCGCAGCGAGCGATACGATGAGGTGAGAGAGCACGATGACGCGCGATCGACCGCGTCGGGCGTCGCGCGCGCGCGCGCGGCGCGCGATCATCCGCCGCCGCGTCAGACGTCGCTCGCTTTTTCCCCGCGCGATCCGATCGCCGCGTCGGCGCGCTCGAACCCCCCCTCGTCGACGCGATCTGACGCCGCGCCCCCTCGTTCTCTCGCGACGATTCTCAGCGGATTCTTCGGAGGCGGCGTCCCCGCGCCCAAGCCCGCGATGGGCGGCGGCTTCTTCGGCGCGAGCGACGGCGCGGACATGGAAGAGCTCGGGGGCGATCTCGAGGACGACCCGACGGAATTCGAAGGCGCGATCGAGGAGGTGGACATCCCGTCGACGCGCGACGAGGAACTCCTCGGCGGCATCTTCGGCGCGACGTTATCCATCGCATCGCGCGACGTCAACTCATACGTCAAGCCGAAGCCGGCGCTGCTGACGCCGCAGGATCTGATGGGCGCGGCAGCGCAGCCGCCGGGCGGGCCTCCCTCCGCCTTCGCGCGGCAGCAAGCCGCGTTCGAAGCGGAGAGAGCCGCGTTCCAGCGTCAGATGGCGCAGGGCGGGCCGCCGATGGGCCCGCCCGCGGGAAGCGCGCCGCCGATGCCGCCGCCGGGGATGCTGCGTAACATCGGCCCGCCGCCGCCCGGGATGGCGCCGAGGGGGCCGCCCGGCGCGGGCGCGGGAATGGGAATGGGAATGGGAATGGGCGCGGGAATGGGCGCGGGCGCGGGCGTGCCGCCCCCGGGGATGCCGCCGCCGATGGGCCCGCCGCCGGGGATGATGGGTGGGAACGGCGCGTTCCCGCCGCTCGGGTCGCATCCCCCGCCGCCGGGGATGCGCGGCGGCCCCCCGCCGCCGCACTTCCCGCCGCCCCACCACGGAGGACGCGGACGCCATCACCACGACCAGCGGTTCCCGCCCCCCGCGCCGACGCACGGCGGCGGCGGCGGCGGACGACGCGGGGACGTCCCGGAGTGGGCGGACGGATCCATCGTGGGCGGCGGCGGCGGCGACATCCCCGGGATGCCCGGCGTGCCGATGGGGCCGAACGACGACGACGCCTTCGGCCCCGGTTCCGGCAGCTTTGGCGGCGGCGGCGGGACGCGACAGGGCGGCGGCCGCGGCGGCCGCGGCGGAGGCAGACACGGGCACAACCAGCGCCACAACCATCGCAACCGCAGCGCGAAGCTCATGACCTCGGACGAGATCGAACAGATCCTCCGGATTCAGTGGGCGGCGACGCACCCGCTCGACCGCGCCGCGTACGACCACGACTACTACTACCAGTGCTGGCTCCACTCCAACAACCGCGCGAAGCTCAAGGAGCCGTTCGCGCCGTCGGAGCTGCGAGAGCTCGCGCCGCAGGCGAAAGAGGCGAGGGCGCCGACCGCGTTCGTGACGTTGGACGGCCTCGGCCGCGTGCCGTTTTCAAACTTGCGCGCGCCCAAACCGCTTCTGGACGTCAGGCGCGTTCTATACACTGGTCCTCATACGACCGCGTTGGCGTTGTGAACGCCGATCCTTAAGGACTTTTGCCGTCGTTTTTCTCCGCCCACCCGTCGCTTTCAATCCTCGACCGCGACGCCTTTCAACTTGCACTGACGCCTTTCAACTCCACCCCGACGTTCGCTTGTATGGAACGACCGTCAGCGGCAAAGGCGAAGTCGACGGCGGCGCCGGACGCGAGGCGGACGAGAACCAAGCGGGCGGCAGACGGCTCGAACAGGAGCCTCTGCTCGCCGCGCGGATCATGATCGAGGACGGGATGTGCCTCCTGCTCGACGTGGACGACATCGATCGGCAGGTGGAGGAGGGCGTCGCCGCGGAGGCGCCCGCGGCGATGGCGCGGCGGCGAGACTTTCTCTTGGAGGGCCTCGCGGGGACGCTCCGCGTTCCCGCGACGCCGGTCCTGAACGCGCAAGCGCGGAAGCGCGGCGACTCCGACGCCGTGTTCGAGCGCATCGCGACGCTGCACAAGGGCAGGGTCATGCTCGCGAAGCTCTTGCCGCGGCTGCGGAGCGGGTGCTCCGCGGCGGCGTCTCTCGTCTGGGCGGTGATGCGTCACTCGCCGACGCTGTTGAAGGAGGGCGAGAAAGCCGCGGTCGCCGCCGCCGCCGCCGCCGGGAACGAGGCGTCCGCGAACAACAGCGCCGCCGAGCTGGCGAAGGAGACCGCGGTCGCGATGTCGAACTTATCCTACGCCGCGACGTCGTCCGCGATCGAGGCGCTCGCGTCGGCGGCGATGGCCGCGGACGCCGCGGGGTCGCTGCCGTCGTTCGCCGCCGCGTCGGGACCCGGCGCCGGGATGGCGTCGCTCGCGCGCGCGGTGCTGGAGCAAGGCAGCAGGCTCGGCATCCTCGGCGCGGACTACGACGCCTCGCCGGAGTGGTCCGACTGCTTCACGACGTTGTTTAACATCCTCGACGCGCACCTCGCGACGCTCGAGAAGTACCACGTCGCCGCCAAGGGCGGGGAGAAGAAGCTCGCGGCGTCCATCGCGGAGCGCGCGGGCGCGGAGAAGCTGGAGCTGCCGCGCGATTTGCTCCGCGCGTGCGTGCCGCACTGCACCGCGGAGCAGCGGGAGACGATCCGCGTCCGGATCCAATCGTGCCAGTGATGGACGCGCCGGCGACGACGAACAAAGTCTGATCGGCGGCTGGGAGCACTATTTTTTCGCTCCGCGAAAGCCGCCGACGACGAGGGAGCGCACGGCGTTGGGTGGTTTTTCTTTTTTCTGGAACCTCCACGGCCGCGGCCACGTGCGATCTCATTTGCCTTGTAGCCGTCGAACGGACACGGGCGCGTGCACTTTTTGACCCGGCACGCGCCGCGTTCGACGAGAACGTTCTTTTTTGGAAATAAATTCACCCTTGTTAAAATTACACCGCCAAAGGTCGCGCCGCTAAGTTACCTACGTCACGTTCGCCGCGTCTATCGCGCCTCAGCACGCGTGATTCTCCAACTTTGGATACGTCAGACTCACCTTCACGCCCTCGTCGTTCGGACGCGTCGCCGCCGCCTCCGTCTCCGCCGCCGGCGCCGGGAGCTCGAGCGTTTCTCCGTCGTCGTCGCCCTTCTTCTCCTCCTTCTCCTTCTCCTCTCCTCCTCCGCTCGCCGCCGCCTCCGTCGCGTTCTTCTCGCCATCCGCGGCGACGATCGCCGGGGTCTTGCACACCCCCCACGACGGCCACACCGGCATCTTCCCGTCCTGGTACTTCAGCGGCGACCCGATGACGACGTTGCTGGACGTGTCCCGGAACTGCCACGCGTACACCTTCCCATCCCGCGGGTCGTACTCGCGGAAATCCTCGGCGTTGATGCTCCGCGGCGCCGCGTTCTGAGGCGGGTGGTACTGCCTTGACGCGATGTACTTCTGCGTCGTCGCGGAGTTGAACCCGCCGTTCGGCGTCGTCTCATTGAGCGCGCGACGCGACATGGCGACGCGTGCGACGCGCGCGGGGCGAAGTGAACGGGGACGGGGCGATTTCAACGCGACGCGATTATTGTCGTCAACGGAAAAGAAAGTTGCTGGACTCGCGCGACAGCGGGACCGGAAGAACACTGGCACAGACGCGACTCGATCGATGCTCGTCGCAGCCGACGCTAACGCTACGCGCGACGCGCTCGCCCGTCGTCACCTCCTCCTCGCCCGCCCCCGCCCCCTCGAGTCCATCTCCACCTCCCCAGTCTCGTCCTGCGCGATCCTGCTCTCCAGCCAGTACCGTTTCTCCCCGTCCTTCACCGCGTTTTTCCCGAGCGGCTCGCGGCGCTTCTCCGCGTCGCCGTCGGCGCCCGCGGGGGACGACGCGAACCCCGTCGGGGGGTACCACTTTTCGTGCAGCTGCACGTAGACTTTCTTGTAGTCCGCCCTTCGGTAGAAGTAATTGTTTTTGCCGTTGCTCGAGCGCTTCTTCTTGCCCTCGTAGTTCACCGTGTGCACGCGTTTCGCCTCGACGTCGTACACAGCCTTGAGGTAGCCCTTCACCTCGGTCTGTGAGGATCGGTCGACGACGGACGGAAGAGGGACGCGACGCGGCGACGACGCGACGCGCGAGTGGTGGGTCGGGGACGTCAGCGAACAGGGAGGACGCGTCGGGCGGGCGACGGGCGGTTCGGGTCGGTCGCGAGGACGACGGCGGCGGGAGCGAGCGCGCGCGGGGGGGAGGGTCGCCGCGCGGACGCCGGAACCCTAGGAAGAAGAATCAGTGAAACGTCGACGCGCGCGCGCCTTCGTCGTCTGCGGCACCGTGATGAACGTCACGACGTTCAGGCCTTCCTTCGCCGCGGTCGGGTTCGGCGCGACGAGGCGCAGGGGGATGTTCGGGAAGTATATCGTCCGCCCCGCGCGCATCAGCGACTCCCAGAACGCGGGCCCCGACATCCTCGCGCGCGGTCGATCTGATGCACTGACGACGACGCGCGCACGATCAGATTTTGGCGCCAGGAAACTAAAAAATTAAAAAAATGAACGAGTCACGCCCGCTCGTGCTCTCGCTCCGTCGCTCCTCATCGGGCGTCATAACTTCGACCTCGTCCCGGTCCAACAGAACGCACCCCCCGCGCGTTCCCCCCCCGCCGCGCTTCCAGACCCGCTCGCGGCCGCGCCCCCGGGAGAAGAAACCGAAACCTCCGCCGCCGGCGTCGTCTCGAAAAACGCCTTCACCGCCTCCACGACGTACTCCCGGTCGCGACGCGTGACCCACCACCCCACGGGCACGCTCACGAGCGTCTTCACGACCTCGTCCAGCACCGGGAGCGGGGTCCTAAACGGCGCGCACACGGAGTGCGTATCGTTCCTCGCGTGCACCTGCGACGTCGCGACGTTTTTGCTCTTCATGAATGTGATAAACGCCGGCTTGTCGCGCACGTGGAAGCTGTACATCCAGTAGCTCGAGCTCGCCCCGCGCGGGACGTCGTTCAAGAGCGTCACGCCGTCGATCCCTCGCAGCGCGCTGTCGTAGTACGACGCGTTCGCTCTGTGCGACGCGAGGATCGTCTCCAGGTGCGGTAAGTTCGCGAGGCCGACCGCGGCGGCGAGGTCGTTCATGTGCATCTTGAACCCAAACTCTTTCACGTCCGACTCTAACCGGTAGTCGTTCTCGTCGTAGTTTTCGCGCGCTCTCGATATCCCGTACCAACGCAACACTTTCGCGCGGTCGTACATCGCCTTCGTGGGCAGCGCGAGCAGCCCGCCGTCGCCCGTGGTGAGGTGCTTGATCGCCTGTAAGGAGAAGATCGCTATCGTCCCGCGCGACGCCGCGCCGACTCTGATTCCGTTCCACTCCGCGCCGATCGCGTGCGCGGCGTCCTCGATCACCGCGGGCCGGAACCCGAACTTCTTCTCCGCGTACTCGCGAACGCGCTCGATCGCGTCCAGATCCACCGGGGTCCCGCCCCAGTGCACGAACTGAATCACCTTCGTGCGCCTCGTCAGCTTTCGCCGCAAAACCTTGACGTCCACGTTCGCGGTGCCGGCGTCGACGTCCACCCACCGCGGGCGAAGCCCGTTCGCGAGTATCGGCCAGTTCGTCGCCGCGCACGTCAGCGCGGTGGTCAACACCTCGTCCCCAGGCTTCAGGCCCGGCCATCTCGACGCGGCGTCCGGCGTTTTGAGCATGTGCAGCGCGATGTGCAGCGCGCTCGTCCCGCTGTTGAGCGAGAGCACGTGCGGGTTGTCGAGGAACGCCGCGAGCTTGCGCTCGAACGCGTCCACCAGCGGCCCTTGCGTCACCGCGCCGGACGCGAGCACCTCCGCGGCGCGCGGTCCCGCGTCGGGGGCGATGAACACCTTGAACAGCGGGAGCTCCTCTCTCAGCGGCTCCATCGTCGCCGGCGACGACGGAACGACGCGGTTCAAAACGCCGCGTTCAAAACGCGATCGATCGCTTCTGTCGCGCGACGATCGAACGCGCGCGCCGACGCGACCGAACGCGCGTCGCGATCCCCCTCGCGCGTCGACGGCGATCGCGGGACGCGCGCGCGACGCCCCGGACGCCGGCTCGGCGTGCGCGCGACCGCCCCCGCCCGCGCGGCGCCGCGGAAAGTGCGCCAGGCTGGCGACGCGTCCTATGAGAGAAGATGGATGACATCAGATGTCGTCCCGAGCCGAGCGAGCGAGCGAGAGGCTGTGGGCCGCTCGTCCGTCCAAGTCCGGTCTGCGCGTCCGAGCCGTCGCCGGCGGCGCTCGCTCTACACCCGCGCATTACATCGATTCTACCGCCTACGTCTACCCCCCGGCCACAGCGGGCGCGTGCGTCGAGCCCCACACGCGCTCCCACATCGTCGGCGGCGTCGCGGGGGAGACCGGCGCGACGTCCGCCGTCGTCGTCGTCGTCGCCGTCGTCGTCGTCGTCGCCGTCGCCGTCGCCGTCGCCGTCGCGCGTCTCGTCCCGACGCCTTCGAATCGACGCACGCGCGCGTCCACGTCCACGCCGGTCGGGACGAACACCTGCTTCGCCGGCGCTGGACGCACGATCGCCGCGGAGCCTCGACTTCTGTACGGCTGCCGCGTCGGCGTGCATTTCGCGCCGCCGCCGTCGCCGTCGCCGTCGCCGTCGCGCGTCGTCCCCGCCGCTTTCCTCGCGGTGTCCAAGTCGTCGCCGACGTCGACGCGACGGTCGGACGTCTCCGGCGGCGTCCCGGGGGAACACGATCCCCCGCGCGCTCGCGCTTCCACCGCGCCCTCTTCGTCGCGCGACGTTTGCGGCGGCGGCGTCGTCGTCGCCGCCGCCTCTTCAGCGCCCGCGCGCGAGCCGCCGCCGGCGCCAGCTGTACCCGAGAAGATCCGCGCCAGCATCCTCGGCATCTGCCCGCACCCGGTCCTCGCGCGCAGCGTCTCGTCGTCCCACCCGTCGTCGTCGTCGTCGTCGTCGTCCAGGTCGATCGCGCACCCGCGCTTCAACAGGACGTCCGGCACGACCACCCCGCGCGACTTGAGCTCCCGCGACAGCGCCTCCGCTTTCCGCGTCTGCTCGCCGAGGCACTCGAGCGTGTCGTCCATCTGACGCTCGAGCTCGCGCGCGACGCCGTCCGCGATGAGACCCTCGACGCGCCCCAACGCGTCGCGCATCGCGGGGGATATCGCGTAGTCGTCCAGCTCGATCTCCGACGACGTCTCGTCCGCGGAGTCGTCGTCGTCGTCGTCGCGCGCCGCCTCGCGCGTCGGCGTCGGCGTCTCGTACGGTCGGCGCGCCTTCAGCGTGATGGGCGTCGTCCTCATCGCAACGGTCGTGCGTCGCGCGCGCGCGCCTTCGGAAGACGGAAGAGACGGGTCCGACTTCATCTCGCGTCGGACCGCGCGCACGAGCTCGAGCTGGGCGTCGCGTATCAAGTCCATCAGCGCGTCTGCGGCGGGGAGAGGCGGGCGGGGAAGCGGCGGTCAGCGAAGGACGCGACGAACCGTCGCGGAGGAGGAGGGAGGGAGGACGAGGATCTCGTCTTCGTCGGCTCGCGAACGGACACGGGAATGATGATGTTCGCACCCGACACCGTGAGCCGGCCGTCGGAGGAGGTGGACGCGCCGCCGCCGCCTCGCGCCGGGGTGACGACGCCGCTCATGGTCTCCTCGCGCTTCCGCGGCCGTGGCCTGGCCGCGTCTCGCGAGGGAGAGAGTGCGTCGCGGAGCGCGGACCAGAAACAGTACAACGACAGCGACTAGCGACAGCTCAAAAAGAACGCGAGTTCGTCTTCCAAAAGAACGTCGCGTCGCGACGACGCCCATCCACCATTTTCGTCGGCGCGCGCGGCGTCGAACCATGGCGGACGACGGTCCGTTCTTCGAGACGTTCGACGCCACGGCCGCGCGAATCTCGCAGTCGCATCTCGCGGCGAAGCTGAACCAAGGCCCGAGGGACGATGCCGGGCGGTTCAGGATCACCAAGGGCACGAGCTCGCTCGCGACGCCCGAGGAGAAGCGCGCGGAGGAGAACAGAGAGCGAGGCGTGACGCTCGTGGATCCGACCAAGGCGGTGTCCTTGCACACGGTGAAGCGCGCGGCGGACGCGCCCAGGGAGAGGGAGAAGACGAAGAAGGCGAAGAAGGAGAAGAAGGACGGCGACGACGCGGACGACGACGCGGGGCCGCCGTCGTGGCTGAGCCTCGGCCTCGTGGTGAAGATCCTCGACAAGTCGAGCGCGCACAGGAAAAGAAAGGGCGTCGTGAGGAAGCTCCCGAGGAAAGGCGTCGCGGAGCTCGAAGTCCTCGGCGTGGACGCCGCCGCAACGGAGACCGTGGCGGAGAAGCACCTGGAGACGGTCCTCCCCGCGGTGGGGAAGCACGTCAGGGTGGTCAAAGGCGAGGCCGCGGGGAGGGTGGGCGAGCTGAGGAAGATTCACGAGACGCGGTTTCTCGCCGAGGTGGCGCTCGACGCCGCCGACGGCGTGCGGCAACGCGTGGAGTTTCTGCAGTACGACGAGGTGTGCAAGGTCCAAGGGTTGTCGTGACGCGGCGCGGGGGGGGGGACGAGATAACCTTAATTAGCGCGGAAACACCTTCGCACGCGCGTGACCTTAATATCGAAGGTGTTCTGTAGCGCGTACGAGTACGGTAGTCTAAAACACGACGCCGTTGCAGTGAATCGCCCCGCCGGAGGAGCGAAGATGCTCCCTCGCGCGCGACGTCTTCCCGCCGCTCCGCGCGTCGTTCGCCGCCTTGCTCGCCTTGCTCGCCGCCGCCGTCGCCGCGGAGACCGCGTGGACGTACCCAACCTGCCTGCGCTGCGGCCGCACTTTCGCCCCGGAGGCGTCGTACGGCGCCGTCCTCCGCGAGACGCCGCGCGTCGCCGCGACGCCGGGGCCCGGCGGCGGGCCCCCCCACGCGTCCGTCACGAGCGCCTGCCCTCCCCGCGGCGCGCGCCTTCGCGTCGCCGACGCGGGCGCGGCGACGGCGACGGCCGCGGTCGCCATCTTCACGACGCCGACGCGCCGGGCTCCCCCGGGGGCGGAGACGGCGCGATGACGCGACGCGGGTAAGCGCGCGCCGTCCAACGCGTCGTCGAGACGCGTCAACGACGCGAGCAGCGCCGCCTCCTCGACGCTTCGACGGCTGTTGCGCGTCGCGTCCAAGTCCAAGACCGCGTCCACGGTCGCGCTGCGTCGGACGTTGAGCCCGTCGAGCGCGGACCCGCCGGCGGCGTGCGCGAGGCAGTGCGCGTCGAGGCGTCGGAGCGACGCGAGGAGTTTCGCCTCCTCCGTGGAGAGCGACGTCGGCGCGCCCGTCGCGCTCTTCACGCGGTTGACGTATCGCTCGCCGCCGCTCCCGCCGCGCGCGCCGTCGCCGAGAAGTTCGCGCACCGCCCTGCCTTCCGGGGTCTCCGCGAAACGGACGTGTTTCGTCGCGCTCGCGGGCGCGTCGCGTCGGCGGCGGCCTTGCGGCGTCACGCGTTTCGCGCCTTGCACCCGCGGCGTCGGCGACGGCTGCGGCGGCGCGAACGTCTGCCGCTGCTGCTGTTGCTGCTGCTGCCAGCGCATCTGCATCTCGCGCATCTGCCACTGCTGCTGCTGCATCATCGCGTGGTGATGGTGATGCTGCTGCTGAAGCTGAAGCTGCGCGGGGTACATCCCCCAGTGCTGCGGAGGCGGCGGCGACGGTTGGTACGGATGGTGGGTCGCAAAGTTTGGCTGACGCGCGAACGCCGCGGCGTGGCCGAACCCCAACCCCGTCGGGCTCGGGCGAGTCCCCGGGGGCGCGTACACGGGCCCGTGCGACGGCGGCGGCGCGAGCGACGGCACCCGCCGCGGTCCGTGCGCGCTCCTCGACCGCCGCGCCGCCGCGCGCTCAGCCTCTTCCTCCGCCTCGAACGCGGCCAACCGCGCGGCTTCGCGTCGCGACCGTTCCGCGTTTTCCACCGCCGTGGCAAAGTACGACCCCTTCAGCATGAGCGGCGCCTCGGCCATCTTCTTGACCTTCTCCGCGGCGGACATGACTTTGGGCTTGACGGCGCTCGAGGACGCGGTCGCTCGCGCCGCCGCGCGGCGCTGCGCGGAGGCGACGTACCCCGCGTCCGCGGCGGAGAGCTCCGCGCAAAACCGCGGCGGGTCCGGCGACGACGGCGGCTTCAGAGACGACGAAAACGCCGCCGCCGCCGCCTCCTCCTCCTCGTACTCGGACGACGACGACGACGACCCGCCGGGCTCGTAGTCCTCCATATCCTCGTCCGAGAACTCCTCCTCCTCGCGCGGCGCGAGCGGCAGCGCCTTCGACGGCAGCGTCTTCTTCTCCGCCGCGGCGCGTCGCGCCGCCTCTCGCTCCGCGTACGTCTTCGGCGGGTTGAACGGCGCCGCCGCGGGCGGTTTCAACGCGGGCACGTCCGGGCGCTTCACGCTCAGCGCCGGGGGTTTCGTCGGCTTGAACGGCGCGCACGACGCCGCGGCCGATCGCGCGTCGGGGTCGGGGTCGGGGTCGGGGTCGGGACCCATCCCCGACGCGGCCGACATCTCCTCGGAGACGTTCCGTTCGATCGCCTCGAACGCGTCGACGCTGTCGAGGAGCTCCTCCGCGATGGCGGGCGCGGCGACGGCGGACGCGACGGCGCGCTCCATCGCGTGCGCCGCGGAGCGCTTCTTTCCCCACCAGTTCGACTGCTCGTCGCCGTCGAGTTTCTCGAGCTCCGCGAACGAGTCGCGGAAGAGGTTGCTCTTCGCGTCGCGGAACGCCGGAGGGGTCGTCGTCGCGCCGAAGCTCGCGCCGCTCGAGCCCGCGGCGGCGCCCGCGCCGTCGTCTTCGCCGCGTTTGCGACGCTCCGCCGCCGCCGCCGCCGCGTCGCGCATCTTATCCCGCATCTGCTGCAGGCTCATCTCGTCGTCGTCGTCGTCGTCGTCTTCGTCTTCGCCGTCCTTCCACACCGGGGGCGATGGCGGCGGCGCCTCCGCGGGCGCGGGCTCCGGCTCCGGCTCCGGCGCCGGCTCGGGTTCGACCTCGAGGCTATCCCTCACCGACTCCGCGCGCCGCGGCTCCACCACCTCCTCCTCGTCGTCGTCCTCGTCGTCGCTGAGCATAGCTATCCTCGCCGCGACAGCCGCGGCGACCGCCCTGGACGCGGACCCCGCGTTCGATCGCATCGACGGCGTCGACGCCAGAGACGCGCCCGCGGATCCGTTTCCTTGCTCGGACAGCGGCGTAAACGTCGACGGCAAGTGCGCGCGCATCCACCGCCTCGCCTCCATGGCTTTCTCGCCGCCCGCGTGCACGGGACTGAAGTTAGTGAACCCTCGCGGCGGTTCGTTTTCGTTGTCGTTTTCGTTGTCGTTATCGTTATCGTTTTCGATTTCGTCGTCGCGCCGCGTCGCGTGGTACGCCGCTTCATCTGCCAGCGCCGCCGCCGGCGCGCGAATCATCGCGGGTTTCCGAATCCTCAGCACGCGCTTGTTCTCCCGCTGCGGGGGCTTTTCAACCTCGGATAACACGAACGGCCGGTGCGAATCCTCCACCTCGGACATCATATCGCGTCGTTCAGTTTCGGTGAGTATCGCGCCGAGATCCGCCGCCGCGTTCGCCTTGAGCATCTTCCACGGCGCGGACGGCGACGGCGTCGTCGCCGCGGACCGCGCGCGCTTCCCGTCTTCGTCGCCCCCGCCGCCGCCCCCGCCGCCGCCCGCGATTCGCCTCTCCCTCAAAAACCTCCTCAGCTCGCTCGCGGTCGTCGCGCCGTCGTACGGGCTCGCCCCGGCGCCGTCGCCGGTCCTCCCCGACGGCGTCACGCGCGTCCCGAACGCGGTCGCCGCGTGCGGCGCCGGGATCTTGCGTCCGTCCCACGCGCCGCACGCGCGAGTGGGCGCCGGGGATCGACCGTGCTTCGTCCTCGCGGAGGGGGTGTCCCTGTGGAACACCTTGACGTCGCTCGGCGGCGGGGGGGGTTCGGGGGACTTGTGGATGTACGCCGCGGATCGTTCGCGGGCTTCGCGTCGTTCTTTCAGTCGGTTCTTCGCCTGCGACGGGAGCGGAGAGGGCGCGGCTGTCGGCGGCGGGGAATCGCGAATTACGAAAAAAACGGAATGGACCGCGGCGCGGACGACGGGACGCGAGGGGAACGTCGCGAGATTCGCACCATCTCCTCCTCGAGCGCCGCTCTCGCCTTGGCCTTCTTCTCGAAGAGCTCGCGCCGGCGCTTCGTCTCGAGCGCGAGCTGGCGCCTCACGCGTTCGCGCTCGTCCAACATCGCGTCGTCCTCGTCGAATCTCGTCGAAATCTCAGAACGACTCGGCCGCGGGGAAACGCCCGCCGTTGACGCGCGCGGGGACGACCGCGCGGTGACGCTCGCGCCGCGACGCTCGCGCCGCGGCTCGTCTCCTTTCGCGTTCGCGACGGGTTGGCGAGCGCGCGCGCGTCGCCGTCGCTCACCGTCGCCGCGCGCCGCGGGATGTGACCGCCGCGCGCGCGTCGTCGTGGCTTTCGAGAAGCCGCGTGTAAGTAACCGTTGAAAAGGCGTTGACCGCGACCGACCGGCCTCGCTCTTAAAAAAAATTTGACCGCCCGAGCCGAGATCGAAGACGCCGGGGGGGGGAGAGACGAGGCGCGAGCGCGATCGAAAAGACGGCGATGTTTGTTTCATAATATATCGAATATATTGAAAGCCTACTGTACGACGGCGCTCACCTCGGCGCGCCGCACTCCATGCAAAACTTTTGTCCCGCGCGCGCGTACGCCGCGCCGCAGTCGGAGCAAAATCCCGCGCTTCTCGACGCCGCCCCCGCGCTCGCCGGGACGCTCCTCCGCGGCGCGACGCTCCCTCCGCCGCCGCCGCCGCCGTGGCCGACAGTGCTCGGCGCGATCATCGACCGCGCGCGCGCCCGCGCGGACGAGCCGCCGACGTCGCGCCCGGACGGCGTGCTGAACCGGTTACTCGCCGCGAGGTTCGACCGCGGCCCGGGGCGAAAGTACGTCTCCTCCTCCTCCTCCTCCTCCTTCGCGCGTCGCATACTGGACGCGAGCTTATCCCCGCCGCCGCCGGCGTTGCGATAGCCGCTCGCGCCGAGAAGGAACGACGGCTCTTCCTCCGGGGCTAACGAGTCCACGCCGGAGAGCGCGGACGCGCGCGCGAGAACGCCGCGCACGCCAGTCGCGGGCGCCTTGGCGACGATCTCCTCCACGTCCTCCTCCGCCTCGTCTTCGCTGTCGGGGTTCTTCCCGTCGAACATCGCGCGCGTTCGTCGCACGAGCACGGTCGCGTGCGTCGCCGTGTCGTGACCGTCGTCGTCGTAGTCTTTGTCCCACACCGACGACCCGAGAGCGATCGTCCCGACGTGCTCCTCCATCGTGAGCGGCCGCGCTTGCACGCGCCAGGACAAAAACGCCTGGTCCATGACGCGAAACGCGAAGTGGTTGTCCGCCTTGCGCAGGTGCATCGTCCCCCTCTGCGTTTCGAGGCAGACGTTTTTCCACTCCAGGAGGACGTGCCTCGCCGTGTTCTCGAGGTTGCACCCGGCGAGGAGCGCGATCAGGCGCTGCATCGCGAACTTTTTGCGCTTCCCCTCTTGCACGACGGCTCGCCACTTGTTGAGCGTGAAGATCAACGTGGAGCCAAAGGCAAACTCGAGCGCGGAGCGGAGCTTCGCGTCCATCTCGGACGCGAGCTCTTGGGACGTGCGCAGCCACTGTTGGAACGTCGCGCGCTGGAGCATGTGATCGTACAGTTGCGTCGCGGACTGAAACTTCTCGAGCTTCGAGCGGCGGTGCTCGACGTAGTTCCACCAGCGCGAAAAGAACGTCCCCTTCGCGCGCGAAAACGCGCGGCCCAACAGCTTCCTGACGTGGTGCATCTTCCCCGAGTCCACGCGCCAAGACCGCCACGCCGCGGTGATCAGACGTCGTTTCTTCTGTCGCAAAAGCGCGTCGCCGTTCGCGAGCGCGCGCGTCAGCGCGGCTTGCTTGCGGAAAAAACGCTTGTTGCGGATGATGATGAGCCGCCACCCGGCGAACATCCGGTTCAAATTTCCAAACATGATCTGCTTCAGAACGATCCGCAACTTCTCCTCGCGTCGCTTGTCCTCCTTACGAACGCCGCAGAAGTACGTCCACTGCGTGAAGTGCGACCGCGAGTGACGAAGCCGGAAGTGCCTGCACCCGCGCATCGTTCGCATCCAAATCTTGAACGACCGTCGGCCGACGCCCGCGGCGGAGTTTGCCGCGAGAAACCCGCTCTTCGACCGCATCAACTTCGCTCTGACGGCTTCTTCGCCCCACGCCCGCAGCGCGAGTTTCACCGTGCGCTTCAGGCCGTTCCCTAAGATTTGCTTCACGCGCAGCATCGTGTAGGTGTATTTCGTCCACTCCACGAAGCACTTCCTCTGCGAGCTTCCGAAAAACTTGAGCACCGCGGCTTTGTAGTTTGCCCTCTCCTCCTTGACGCCTCTGCGGAAGTCGACCCACTTGAGGAAGTACCGCTCCAGGAGCTGCTCGTTCCCTCTCGTCATCGCGAGCGTGAGCTTCCTCAGAAGCTGCATGTCGTTCATGTACTCGACCCACCTCGCGAACGCGGCGGCGACGGCGCCCATGATGAACTTACGCATCGCGATGCGCAGCCGCCTCGCTTCCTCGACTTTCTCCTCCCACCGCCTAAACGCGCCGTTGATTGTCCTGTTCATCAACAGCCTCACCGCCTTCTCGAGCGTGTCCCTCATGCGGAGCTCAAACTGCGTGTAGTCGTACCACTGCTTCAAGATGAAGCCGGCGCTTCGGTTCATGCGCTTCGCGACGGCTTCGATGACCAAGCGCTTCCGCTCGAGCTCCACGGTCGTGACGTGATACCAGGTGTCAAAAGCTGCTTGCTTCGCGGAGTTCATGAATCGGTTGACGGCTTTCTGAAGCATCTCTTTGAGCTCGAGCGACTCCTCGGTGAAGTCGCACCAGCGCGCGAACGCGCCGGCCATGTTCTTCTTCGTGAAGAACGCGAGCGCCCTGGAAGCGATCGCGCGCGCTTCGATGACTTCGTCGACGTAATCGTGCCACCGCTCCCACGACCCGATGAGCTTTCGGTTGTTGATGCGCGAAATCACCGACCGCATCACGCGTTCCATGCGCGCCGACTCGGACGCGTTGTCGTACCACGTGTGGAAACACCGCCCCTGCAGGGACACCGCGTAGTGCACGAGCGCGCGCATGTGACACTCGCGCATGTGTTTCTTGTGCACCACGATGGAATCCCACTTGTTCCACGCCCCCGCGAGCGTTCGGTTCATGAAGCGCGCCATGATCGACTCGAGCTTCTGACGCATCTCGATGCTCTCTTGCGTGAACTCTTCCCAGCGCCGGAACGCGCCCTCGGTCGCGGCCATCATGAACTTCTTCAGCGCTTTCGCGATGCGCACCCTGTCCTCCTGCGACTCGATCGCGAACTGCTCCCAGCGCTGGAACGCCCTGAGCATCGCGGCGTTGGTGAAATACACCAGCGCCCTTCGCAGGCGCTTGTTCAGCTCCCAGTTTTCCTTGAACGCCTCGAAGCCGTTGTACAGTTCCTTCATGAACCACTTCTTCATCGCGAGCCTCATCTTCTCCTCGAGCGTTCGTTTCTCTTCGATGAGCTCGTACCACTTGTTCCACGCCCCGGCGAGGGTGCGGTTGCTGAAAATTTTCACCGCCTTCAAGAGCCGCGCGTTGTCCTCCTGGAGCTCCACGACTTTGTCTTGCCACTTTTGAAACGCGCGCATCAGCGTCCCGTTCACGAAATACTTCGCCGCCATCCTGACGAGCTGGCAGTGCTCCGCGAACTCGATCCAGCGGTTCCACGCCGCGGCCATCGTGCGGTTCATGAAGTGCTTGATGATCTTACCCGTCTTCTCCCTGAACTCGATCTCTTGCTCCGCGTACTCGACCCACTTCGCCCACGCGCTTCTGAGGCCGCGTTGGGTGATCATCGTCCGCACCGCCTTCTCTAAGACGCCGCGCTGCTCCTGGATCTCATCCACCATCTCGCACCAGCGCGCGAACGCGCCCGCGGCGGCGCGCATCTGCAACCGCGCGATGACGCGTTCGCACTTGCGTCGCATGTCCACCAGCTCGTCGACGACGTTCTTCCACGTTCGAAGCGCGCGCGCGATCTGCGAGTTGAGAATCAACCGGCACGCGCGTCGCATGCGCTCGCGGTCGAGAAACGCGTTCCTCCACGAGAACCACCCGATGCGCATGTGCCGACGCTTCGGAATCTCCAACACGCGCTCGTACGTCGCCTTTTGTTCCAGCCTGACGAGCGTGAAGTGCACCCAGGCTTGGTACGCGCCCGAGAGCGAGCGTTGCATGATGCGTCTCGCGCATCTCTCGAGGACTTCTCTTCTTCGAATGCGCTCGTGGAACGCGCTGCGCCACTTGACGTACGACATGAGCTTGATCCGATGCAGCGTCTGCGCTTCGACGCTGCCGCCGCACTTGGACAGCGCGGCTTCCCTCGCGGCTTCGATCGACCACCCTTTGAACGCCTTCTTCATCGCAGCCTTGCGATGCGCGTCGATCGCTTTCGACTGCGCGCCGACGCGGTTGAATTTGGAAATCTCCCTCCACCACAAGAACCGCATCTTGAGGTTGCTGCCGTACCAAAACCTGAGCGCGTGGAGCTGGAACACGTTCCTTCGTCCGCGCCAACGCGAGAGGCACCGCTTCAGGGTCTGGCACTCCCAAAACGACACGGAGATCATGTAGTTCTCCACCGCAGCCTCTCTCGCGATCCTCAGCGCGCGCAGCGCCGCGGCGTGCCGAACCCACACGCGAAACGACGCCGCGAGGAGTTTAAAGTCCGCGTAGCCGCTCTCCGCGGGGTCTTCGCCGTACTCGGGGTAATAGCCTCCGCCGCCCGTGCCCGGGTGGTAGTGCACCTGTCGGTTGCTCCGCTTCGTCTCCGCCAAGACGCGCTCGCGGACGTCGTAGTAGTCGCTGTCGAACCCGTCTCCGCCGTGGTGCGGCGTCATCCGCGGCGTCCTCGCGGTGAGGCCGGCGCCGGCTTGGTTCAGCCGCGCCTTTTCGCGCTCGTACTTGACCCACCAATTCGGATCCGGGTCCAGCGACAGCTTCAGGAGGAACCGGTAGTAGTGCGTGTCCTCCTCGGGGACGATGCCGTGCTCTTGGAGGACGGTCTCGTACGCCTGCGGGTCGGGGGAACGGTGGACGGGGAGAGTGAGGGGGGCGCGCGAGTGCGTCGACAGACAGACGGAGGTGAAATTCGATCGATCGGATCGGATTCGACGCGACGAATTCTGGCGGAATGGGAATGGCGCACCTTGAGAAGACGCAGGAGCGTGACTTCCCCGCCCGCGCCCGTCTCCGCGACCGCTATTTCCTCCGCATGGTTCAGGATGTCCTCCACGACCTGCGAGAATTGCGCGCGGGGAGGGAAGGAGAGGTCAGCGGGATAGACGCCGAGGAGCTTTGGTCGTGGGAAGATATAATTCTCGACAATCAAGCAGCCGCGGTCGTCGCAGGCGGGGTCGAGACGCACCACGGGATCGATCTGCCGCCAGTCGTAGTTCTTCTGACTCGACGCGCTCGCGCCCCCGCGCGCGCCGAGGCCGCTGGTCATGTCGACCCAGCGCCTCGCGCTCTCCGGTGTCATGCCTTCAACGACGCTGCCGCCCGGGGCGATTTTTTCCCCGATCGATGCGAAGAGACGCGCGCGCGGGCGCGAATCAAATTGCCCCTCCACGAGAGACGCGCGATGGACGTCGCGCCTCCGAACGGACTCGCGCGCGCCTCCTCCGCGAGAACGACGCCGTCCGCGGTCGTATCGGCGACGATACCAACGCCGCGTCCTGCCGCGCGCGCGTTCGACACTGCCGCTCGCGCGCCGACGTCGCGCGTGATCGGCCGAGGGACTGCTAGCTAGGACTCGGCCGACCGTTCAAACCATCGTTCGATGATTGTTATTTTATTCGTCGCTTGGGGCGTTCTCACGCACGAGGCTACGAGGGTGGGGTATCCTCCGGTCGGCGCTCGGACGAGCCTGTTTACCTAGGACCCGAGCGTGACGACGTCGCGAGCGCGGGACGAGACATCGATCGCGCGCGTCAGCGAACGCTCGCGAGCGCGCGTCGTCGTCCCGTCGTCACTCTCCCCGCGCGTGCGCGACGCCAGCCTCCTCGCTCCGCTATGCCGAACCGCTCCCGCGCCGCCTCGCTCTCCTCCACGCCAGGCACGCTGCTACGCGTCGCAGTCCTCGCCGCGAGCGCCGCGAGCGCGCTCGCGGCGCCGACGTCGACCGGACGCGCCGTCGCCGCCGCCGCCGCCGCCACCCCCGAAGGACGCTGGACGCCGTTCCCGTTCCCGTACTGGGGACCTCAGGGGTACGTCATCGGACCGCCGGG